TTCCCCCGTCTGGTATGGAGACAGAGATGGGACTAGAGGAGAGTAGTTGGGCGCAGACGAAACGATTGAGCAGTCGAAGAGGGGGATTGGGAATTAGTGTTCGAAGGATCTGCTTCTGGAGACCGCCTTCAAGTACGGCGCAGGAACAAACAGGAGGCGGCATCTCTGAGCAGGTCGGGGATGTCAGAAGAGAAGAAGAAGCCTCGAAGTAAGGCGCCTTCCGCCCTAAATCCGTAATCCCCATTCCCACCCTGGGAATAAAAAGAGGTTCGAAGAAAGTCGATGACAGAGAGAAGGAAAATAAATGGGTATCTAGGAGAATGGTGTAAACTCAGTACTGTCGAAAAAGGAAAAGATATGGAAGAAGAAATTAGAAGGGGGAGGTTAGGTTTGTACGAATGTGAAGTGCATGGATGACAGTAATGAAAGTTTTCCCTTTTTTTTCAGCTTCATTTTTTTTCTTTCCTTCTTGTTCTTTTTTTTTTTAATTTTGAGTCAATTAGGATCCTCTTTCCCGGGCCTGCATATCTAGCCCGTTGCTTCCATGAAAATGTACTCAAATTACCAATGATATAATTATAAAGTGGGCAAACAAAATAATACAACCTGTGATCTTGATTGATTGCGACCAAGAAAGAGTGAGGCTAGCTATATTTGGCTGTGTGTATGGACGACGTAAGGCGGGCAAGAGGGAAAGAGAGCAGGTGCCCATGGGTCCATAGATCCGCCAGCTGGCAAAGTACATGGGTGTAATGGCTGTGGCTGAAAGGCGGGAGGGTGTGCATTTGAAAAGTTATGAGGCAGAAATGATGAAGAGTGGGAGGGGAAAAAGTGATAGGGATGATGCGCAGAGTAGTCAGTTGAACAAGGGCTCGGGAAACCTTGGTTGAAAACTGGCACCGTGTTTGGCTTGTTAATTGCGGGAGTTAGGGGAAGGAATGGTTCGTTGGGTTGCGAGAGACTATGGTCATAAGTGGTAGAGAACGATATGGTTCCAGTGACAATCCCTCCACAATCCACCTGCAGATAATGCCATAATTGAAATAATAACTTTCTCATTGTGTGACAGACTGACTTAACCAACATTAATTTAGGCCAGAGAGGCTAGCTACCGTATGACTTTAGCAAGCACCGTCTGACAGCATGACGTAAGAGAGAAGGGAAGGACGAGCTAAAGAAAGAACATGTGGGATTGAACCAAATACCAAGTGACTGTCAAAGGCAAATACTGTACACTAAGGGAGAGCATCAGGTAGATCATGACTGTAAGCGGTTCTAAGCTGGTGAGTGTATAAATAGCTACAGAAAGTGCCCTGTTCATATGACCAGTCTTGCCCCAACAAACAACTAATTTTCAGGGAGGAAAGAGCGTACAACTCTGATAACAAATCACAAGCACATGTAATATAATTAATTGCATCAGAATATAATAATTTAGAGCAGTGGCTCATAATAATTATAATGCCCCATACATTAGTCAAAGAAGGGAACTGGTAATAATTAATGCCTGTAGTGGCATGGATCTGTTCTATAATAATCTAATATGCACCTCCTCCCTCGACAACAGGGCATAAGCAATTTAGCTATAAAATTAGCTATGCGTACGGTTGGACTGTGGGAAGCAGCGTGGTGTTCACAGAGTGGGGCTTGCGTGTGATCGCTAACTGAGCCTGTCTCTTCGTCCGCCGATCGCAGCAGCTCCTTGAGCGTCTTGATGCGTTCGATGGCGGCCGTCAACACGCGCAGCTTACAGTACCGCCCCAGTTCCTTCGTGCTTTCACCCAAGTAGTCGTCCGCTCCGAGCCCCACGAGTTTCTCCAGCTTAGCGTACTCGTTCCTAACGTTCTCAACACGCTCTCTCTCGCGGGCGTTCTTTGAATGGCGTCGCTGCTCCTTTTCCGTCTGTCTCTCTACGGCGGTCCTGTTCCTTCGCCCCCGCCTCCTCCCACGGCGACAGGCGCCGACCACCCCCATCTCAACAAGAGGCTTCAACGTGAACGGCTGGCCATCTTCTCCGAGAGGATCCCCACTAAAAACGGGTGCTGCGGTCATTGCAGTGTCGTCTCCGCTCTCATAAATTGCCGGGCCGTAGAAGCCGTCGTCGCGATCTCCCGACGGGCTATTCTTGCCGGGTCGGTTGCGTCTGAAACATCGAGAGACGTTGAGGACACGTCTACGTTCGGTTGCTAGCGGTGTGGAAACAGTGTTTATAAGTAGCATCGCGCTCGGTCCGTCGTGCTCTGCGCTAAAGAGGCGCGCGGCGACTACTACGCAGCGCAAAACGCCGCGCCCCTGCAAAATTACGTTCATTACACCCAACAGTGGTAACCAAAAATTGGCCGGGCATTATTTCATTGACAACTGCATATATACAATCAATGGATTAGTTTGAGCGCAGGGTTCTTGCGAATGCTCCAGTTCAGAAGGGCGGCGTATTCTTTGAGTAGCTCCGACCAGTAGCACTCCACTGTCTCCATTGTCAGGTGAGCCCAGATCAGGTCATGTCCCCTTAGTGAACAGAGAAATATTATAACAGCTGAATCTTCAAGTCAAGCAGTGCTGTTTCACAACTAACTGCTCTACGCTTAGTTCCTAGAGCTTCAAAGGATGGCTTACCTCTCAGCTATATCGTGGGCAACCTCGTCATTTTCCCTGACAAACTCCAGTAGCTCCCTGCATAAATTCAGGGTGGTAAACACTGGCTTGAGTTTTAGAGTGTGGTAGGGGGAAATATCCACTTGCATTTATGAGCTACACTCTAGTCTATGCCTTAGTGCCTTTGTAAATAAATGATGATCCCAAGTGTTAGTTATGTGGCGATGTTGATTTCTGATTTCTTATTTCCCAAACCGCTTTTCCAGCCTCGATGGCTTATACGCAAGAAATCCTCCACGTATGTAAAGAGTCGTCGCTAGTAGCGACACAGTGGGACCTCTGAATAATGGACACATTGAGACCAGGCACTTCATCCTTTTCAGGGAGGTTGTCCTCTCTTCGGAGGTTCAAAATGTACTACGTAGGATGATAGAAAGGTGAACATTTCGGTCCTCAAAGTGTCTCCTTTATTGAGATCCTTTTCCCTTTATTCAGAGTGTCTTTTGTCAGAGGTCCTACTGTAGAGAGCTCCATTTTACTCACTCGATATTTCCCAGGTCCACTGGGACTGGGACGTAGTGGATCCATGGCCGCAGGGCTGGGTAGAAGAATTCCTCCCACTCGTCCCCGACGTGGAACACGAGCGACTTGCAAAGGAAGAGGTGTTTGAGTCTGAAGCTGGCAGCAACTCCCCTGAAATTAAAGAGATACCTGCAGACGTCGGAGAGAGCGAAAAGTGATTGTGATCCGAAACAACTTTAGAATAATAGGCTCATAGCTATGTATGAGCAGAACCGATATCACCAGTAGCTGAGGAAGGCCTCCTGGCCGAAACGCTCTACCGTTTTGTTGCTATATACCTCTTCTAAAGCGTTCAACTTCATTTGTGATCATAAACAGAGGATTTCTATGACAAATGATATCTTATAATTATAACTGAGCAGAGATCCCTAACACAGTGGTAGCTATGCAAAAAGTAGAAAACAAGAACACGGAAAGACCATCTCGCTTGCTGCAGTTAGTCAGGCTACCTAGACGTCTGAAATTTTTTTACAACTGCCACTGCATAATATACAGTAATGTTTTACGTGATTAATACACTTAAAACTGCTATTATTATATATACTGGCTTGCTAAAAACGTGCTGCATTCATTCTATATTATAGTAGTACCCAAGCCGTAGTTCACCTGTACTGGCAGTGGTCTTCAAGTGTGACTACATCTGCCGCTGGAGCTCCCAGCGTGTCCTAGCAGAGATATATTTATTACAGGGGATATAGATATATTATAGCTATATAATATACTTTGTCAGATTTCCATGCTTGGTTTTTTGTGTAAGCAGCGTTCACCAGTTCCGGTCTTCTTCGAGACAGCAACACAAGTGGGTCCCTGTCTGAGCTGGTTCTAACCCCACACACACACACACATAGCGCCAGCAGGGCGCCGGGCAGGCGTGCCCACACACAGATAAAAAGTGCTATGTAGACAAGTGTATTACAAAACAATGCTCCATACTTAGATCCTCCTATAAAAAGCCTCTGACAATGACAACCCTTTATCTAAAGACTACTGCTTAGCTTGGACAATACCAACCATAATGGAGCATATGGACTCTAATTGAAGGGGATATGAGATTACCTCCAGGAAATACCTTGATCCTCTAAAGAATGCAATTGTTCTTTTATCCTCCCACAACCAATTATCACTAGATCTGTAAAAAAGATAAATTTGTGTTGGCAAACCTCTTAGACTGCATAGTAGGAGCAATGGGACACACATGTGGCTAACCACTACTCACTCAGCAATTGTCTTTCTTTTCAAGTCCCATCTCCCCAGACCTTTAGGCTCTGTACTAATGGCAGGCCCGCCAGCCCAGAAGGTCCAGGCTGGATACATTATGTCATAATTGGCAGAGGTCTTGTGCAGTGGGGAAAGAACATGTGTTTTTGTTATATAGTAGCCTTTAGAGTGGCACATGGCACCGTGCTTCTACATACCTTGCTGAATGAGAGGATTGGCAAAGGGCCACTGTAGGTTGGGGACTGGAGATACAGTGAGAGAAAGAAAGAAGATAAAAATGGCAAGAGTCCAAAGGTTGACTATGCTAGGTATACACGTAGCAAATAAGTGGGGTTTTGTAACGAGCCTAGGCTGATAATGACAGGAAAAGTGGGGGGGTTCTTATCATCTTCCAGTGTAAACAGGCTAATTTTGACCTGTACCACAGAAAAATGGACCCAAATGCCAGAGTGGCCTAGTGTAGTGCAGAGGATCTGAGTGGCATGTAAAGGCCCCCCTGCCAGTGCAGGCTAAGTTAATTTTGTTGTATATAGCTACTAGCATTTTCCTTTGGGGGAAGTAACAAACTCTGCCTACCCACACTATATACTTCTCAGTTTTCTCTAAGACATGGGAGAGAGAACAGCTGTAAGTTGACTCAGCTGAAGGACACCTTTGGCAGCTTGCTATTGTGCTGCTTGTCCCTTCCTACCTGAGGGTTGTCCCTGACATTAACAATCATCTCTGCATCAGGCAGGCCATGGATGATCTTCAGGATAAAGTGCTCTATTCCCTTGCACCTATACCCACACAGCAGTGACATAATAGGTATATAGGGTTGCTGAGCTACCAAGTAGCTACACTCCTCCGTAATTGTTGTGCGAAACTCAGTATAATATTATAGTAAACTCAGTATAATATTATAGTAAACTCAGTATAATAATATTATAGTAAACTCAGTATAATATTATAGTAAACTCAGTATAATATTATAGTAAACTCAGTATAATAATATAGTAAACTCAGTATAATAATATTATAGTAAACTCAGTATAATATTATAGTAAACTCAGTATAATAATACTATATCAAGAAACACTGGTAATTTAATTGCAACGCTGCTCTAATTTTAATTGCAATGCTACTCTAATTTTAATTGCTTTATTTGACAGGGGCATTAGTTAATGGAGTGCGCACCCTTGCCCCACCCCTCAAAAACAATTCTCTAATTAGGTATTTTGTTTCTTTGGCTCTGCAGTGCTCACCTTGAGGGGAACATACACTCCTCTTCTCTGTACAGAGTATGATTTACTATTTGATAGTGTACCCCGCCTCTTCTCGCCTTCGCTTGCTCAAATTCGGCGATATCAATCCCACCTCTCTCCCGCCACACCATCAGGTCTTGCGCTATCTGATCACCGAGACAATCGCAGCGTTCCCCAACGCAACCTCCGTATTCGGCAACGCTGGAGGCAATAAGGTCGAGGTATCCTTGCCACCTCGAGTCTGCACAGTATTGATGCACCAGGCAGCAAGAGGGGGGCGTGACGTGTATGCTTACCGGTCATTATGCTGCGATGAGTACCACCGCTGCAACCGGATGCGTCCTCCATACTGCAGCTTTCTGTCGTGCACGCGCCCACCTTCAGCACTAGAACCAGTGCTGCAACCCCCACTAAGAAAGTTGCGGCGTCCATTCCTCTGCGAGTATATCATCAGTGCGCATGCGTAAGCGCGATGGACAAACTACTCCATTTGGAGCGCACCTCACTTACGCGGTTGAATGTCGTCCAAGCTTCGACCGACCTACGCGTTCTTGAAACGACTGGAGTTTCTCTCCAGTGGTAAACTGCACCTCAAGGACTCGGTGAAGGCGGTAACTGTTACGTACAACACTCATGGAGTCGACAGCAGCGGAGTTCGGTAGGTCGATCCACCAGCGAACTGCGCATGCTCATTCCACTCCATCCTCAGGCAGTTTGTCAGAGAGCACTTTCCGCCGATCCAGTTCAGGAATCCAGACGTCCAGTTTGTGTTGCGCAAAAACAGAAAACCAACTCCGTCCGTTGACATCTTCTTAGGCAAGCTTAGATGTCTTCAGTAGTAACAGTGGGACCTCTGAATAAGAGACACCTTGGGGACACCAACCGTCCTTCGTGTATATTGTATGGGGCAGAATCAGGTCCTTATAGGGAGGTGCTCTTTATTTGGAGGGTCAGTTTGTCGGAGGTTTCAGGGTATTTTGTATCGGGTGCAGGAGATGGACGAAATGTAAGACTTGACGTTGAGAACAAGACACCAGAGCAGATTCTGTCAGAGTTTGCATCAGTAGCTGGCATTCCCGAGTAAGTTGGGCACAGTTGAACTCCCACGCTCCACTCCCCTCCCCCCCTCCAGCCATCTAGCACGGCAGGCAGAGCGAGAGAAGACTGTGGTGAACTCTGCCAACTTTGGCAACGCCCGGCTGGGAAGATTCTGCATATGTGAGGTAGCGGGACAAACCCCGTGCCCAAGACACGTCCCAATCACCAACATCAGTCACTCTTGGCACAATAAAGACACTTCTGAATCATAACTTCCAGCAAACCTGCAATTCAAGTGGTTCACCTACGATTTTTCATGCTCTATAATAATATAGCGAATAACAACTTCCACGATTTTGGTAAATAAAACCTTCACATGCATGCTCTTACTGTGAAAATTGGGATTGGCATATAATACGGAATAGAAAGTGGTTATAAAAACTGATTTTATACGGAATATGAGTGGAGATGAGACACACGGGCCCTCTGCTGTGGAAGGAGGTCAGAGTCCAATCTCCGCCAGCGTTGAGGGGGCCACAATATGTGGGTCCCCCTCCCAAAAATCAGCCCCCTCGAAACCTTTAAAATAAAACAATGGTGGGTGATCGAGACAAGAGAAGAAAATGATTGGTAGAAATACACTGACCAAGAGGGGAAAAGCTATAGAACCAACCAAATGGGAATACCATCTTTGTTATAATAGCTCTGTGTGTGTGGCTCACAGGACCTCGAGTCAAAACACCTGAGTTTGACTCCCGGCACAAGTTGGTTCATTCTCTTTCCCTCCTGGCCTGCGTACTTCTACCATTCTTCGGCTATCTCTTCAGGTCAACTAGAGATGGTAGACTGGTGGGTAATGGACTGACTTACGGGTCCAAAAAGGTTGCTGTCTCGACTGGCTCTGAGGTTGTCACCCTCCACCCAACAGTGTCCGGGTGGAATGACGATCTTCCTCGTCCGGTATCCCTTCGTCTCAACCGTCTCTCCTTCCTCTCCTATTACCCTCTTCACCAGAACCTCTCCGGGGTGTGTGGGCGAGTGGATAATCACCACGTCACCTCTCCCCACACCCCCTCCCCACCTCACATTCCACACGCTCACCCACACCACGTCTCGGGTCCCCCACGACGACATGCGGCGCGGGTTCAGAGTAGGCTGCGTGCGCAGTTATATAACGAGGGACACAACGTTAAAATCGTATATACCCTCATTGAGTGTCCTTCGATGGGCGCTGGGTAACCGACGTTGTCAAGAAATGTGATGGCCATTGGGACACACAGAACCATTCCAGCCACAGCACTTGGCACCAACACTCGCATAGCACTCTAGCTAGCTAGCTAGCTACATCGCTCCAAATAGAGCGCATGCGCAGATGTGTCGTCAGTTTGCGCACGCGTAAAAAATTAATAGCGCACGCATAAAAAATTTATGCTGTAACGAGAGCGACCAAAACTACCTGTCAGGATTAAAATCTACTCCAGGCGGCAAAAGATGACATAAAATTGAGCGGGCAAGATCAAGTGAGCAGAGAAAGAGAGCAGGAGACACTACTAGAGTTCAGGTGTTCTCGAAAGGGTTCTTGGTGGACGGTGTGGAGGTTGTGGTAGAGGAGGAGGAGGGGTTAAGGAGGTCATCGTCTGAGCTACTGCCGTCCCCTTCTTTCCGGCAGCTGCGGCCGCGTCCACCATCGGGAGCTTCTGGTAGAGCACCTTCTCGTACCTGGACACATGAGAAAGAGAGAGAAGGACAGTTGGATTAAACTAATAGCCAGGGGTTCCTTAAAATGTGTGTACATTGTTAGTTCAGCATATCATGTATATGTGCACGACACTACAAAGCTTCTTTGCATACTCCAGTAACACTCATGAGACGTGTGAGAGAGAGAGAGAGATGTTGCATTACGTGGCCGGAGAGTGCTCCCTACAGCGGAGAAAACAGTAGAAGGCAACAACAGCAAAGGCCACAACGATCAGAGCAATGATGACTCCTCCCACTACCCTGCCTGCTGTCACACCCTGGAGAGAGAGGAAGGAGGGGGAGAGAGAGAGAATCACGAGAGGAAGGAGGGAGAGAGAGGAAGGAGGGAGAGAGAATCATGAAGGCCTACTTTAAAAGGGGGTTAATTGTGGTAGTGGCACAGAAAAAAGCTCCCTAACAAGAAATTGTCACTGATATTTGTGTAGAAAGTGAATCCAGCCCATAAAATTCACTAAAAACAAACCGATACGTCATGTATCTATTCAGCCACAAAGGGTGGGCAGTCAATTAGCAATGAGCCTGCCTAGCAGCACCTCCACACACTCTTGGTCAGTAGTGCTAACTCAGCAGATTTAGGGGACGAAACCTCTTTTAAAATGTTGCGAAATTTTTTGGGTAAGAGACTTACGGCTCTTCTTATGGCCTCCCGAGCATTGTCAAAGCCAGCCTCCTCCTCGTGTCCAACACACGGCAACTGCTCTGTTTTCAAAAGTTGGCGACTGACACTACTGGGCAGACACCGGTCCCCCGGGATCAGCCGGAACCCCGACTTGGTCCTGTTGAAATATTTGGCCCCCGGGGGGCAGTCATCTGCCAGATTGTAGCCTTTCATTCTCTCACATGTGTCATCTTTAGTTCTGTTATATCCATAGTCACTGGAAACAAGATTACACACACATAATGAGCAACAAACAGCAAGTAACTAGCAACTGATTTCCAGCTCTAAGAAAAAATGTGTATAATTACGTACCATTCTAGGTCCTCAGTGGAGCAATCACAACGCTCGTTAAGAATCGGCTTGTACTTGTACCCCTGTTCGTTATAGCAACTGAAGGGAGAGAGAGAGATAAAGCAGCTGCTTCAACTGGCAGAACTGAGCTCACATGGACAAAGATTTGGTGATGTTGTAGGTGTCTCTGTAGCCAAGGGGACAGGCATCTTTATTGACGTGCTCCACCCACTTCTGATAGTCTGACGGTACGCCTGCAAAGAGAGAGAGCAGCTGATTCTTAGACAAAACCCTAATCTCTCTTCCCCTCCACCCTCACATTTCCTCTGGAGGAGTCTCTTGAAGTTGAGTGTGATCATTCTCCACTCGTCTCCAGTCTCATTCCCCTCTACTCCCATCATGAAGGCGGTGAGAGAGGAGGCCCGGGGGTCCATCAGGAGTCCGCGACTCAGGGAGAAGAACTCCGTCGTGTCCAGGAGCTGCTTCACGAAACACTCTCCGCGATTGTGGGAGAACCTGAAGTGGGGACACCTCACTGATCAGGACACCTAACTGATCAGGACACCCCACTGATCAGGACACCTAACTGATCAGGACACCCCACTGATCGGGACACCTAACTGATCAGGACACCTCACTAATCAGGACACCTCACTGATCAGGACACCTCATTACTGATCAGGATACCTCACTGATCAGGACACCTCACTGATCAGGACACCCCACGGATCAGGACAGCTCACTAGTCAGGACACCTCACTAATCAGGATACCTCACTGATCAGGACACCTCACTGATCAGGACACCTCACTAATTAGGACACCATCAGCTCACCAGATGTACTCCACATTCTCCGAATCGGGTGCCACGACGATGATGTTCCCGTAGTCAGCAATCCCGTACACGTACGTTCCCACGGGCAACCCGGGGTCCATCCACGAGTAACCCCCGTCGTTAGAGACAACCAAACGAGGCTCAGAATCATTCCTCGTCACCCCTGTTGAGAAAAACATGCCCGCTCAGCTAGTGAAAAACTGGACACGAGCCTCAAACATATCAGGGGAAGTGCCTCAAGATCTCAGGCTAGCCAGTGTTAGCTGGCCTGAAACAATTGGGCACACTAAAGCGATCAGCTTTATCCACACTTCCACCAAGTGTTTGCAAGTTCAAAAGGACTCTGTGTTGTTGCACCAAATTCCACCGTGAATTAATTAATTCAGACAAGCCAGTGGCTCAACTAAGACACATTTCTTAAACATCAAGATGCCATGGGCACGGAAATTATCAGAGAGGTGCCCTCCGCAGTGTGGTAAGTGGTAAATTATCAGAGAGGTGCCCTCCGCAGTGTGGTAAGTGGTAAAGCGTTTCGCTCCCCATCAAATGGTCAAAGTGCAACACATCTCACCATACGATCCGTGTCCAATGATAATACCAACGGCAGTCTCAGTGGAGAGAAGTGGGGCAGAGTAACTTCTATTGTACTCAGAGGCCACCAGGAGACTATAATGGAGATGGAGGTGGAGGGAGCACTCTGAGTTGCCGTGGCAACCAGATGAGGTGGGTGGGTGGAGTCTCGACCACTTCCCGCCGTTGTTGAAGGTGATCATGGTGACATGGGTGGAGTCTGGGGCAGGGACGTGAGTAAGGTGAAGAAGGAGAGGGAGAGAGAGAGAGAGAGAGAGAGGGAGAGAGAGAGAGAGGAGGAAGAAAGCTAAAGGATTGAAACGGAGGAAGAGAAAACGGACCATTTTTTCCAGTGACAGCGGTGGTAACATAGACACCTCTCATGGACTTGACCTCATAGAAATCGTCAACTGGATACCTCCACTCTATCTCCTTTAAGGAGAACACCTGTCACACACAGAGGAAACAAGAGCTATTGGACACATCAGACATCCAATAAGTAAACTGTCGTCATAAAATTTTCGCACATAACATAAACACATAATATAACTCTGTCATATGATAGGGCATAAAATTTTCACCTGGATGAAGAAAATTTTTTCTTGTGCGTAAACATGGACTCATTAAAATTACTGGCACACAAAATTTTGCAGCCAGGAGTAGATAAAATGTGGGACCTTGTAGAAGTGGTTGGAGAGGGAGAGGGAGAAGCGGGTGGCAGAGCTGTCTGAGACGTAGAGTCCTCCTGAGCCACTGCTCTGGTTGAGTGAGACATGGATGAAGGCTCCCGCCTCGTGAGTGGCCATTATCACGTAGAACTGCACCAGGGGGCAAGGAGAAGAGTAAATTATTACACAGAACTTTTAAAAACGCCAGAGCTGAGACATTCAGCAACTATTGAAGTTTCGGTGCTTACAAAACTTCAAATTGGTGTATTTAAAACTAAGTTGCTTTTTCTTCATTTAAAGTATAGCCAGGAAAGGTCAGTAACAAAAGTGATTGTCTAACCTGTTCAGGAGTCACTGAAGGCAGCTGGACCTCACTGAATGCAATTTCACTGACATCAGCTCCAAAGTCACTGCAGACATAGAGTCTTCGCGACACGTTATCGGACATCGCACTGCCGGAAAAGTTCTGGCGAGAGACGAAGAGATATCGACCGTCCACCGCGAATCGATAGGCATGTGGGTCCAGGACATCTCTCTTTCCCCATGGAATGCTGAGTCTGTGGAGAGTGTTTAGACCGGGGTGTCGACCGAGGGTGAGGAAGAAGGCGTATTCGTTGCGGCTGTCATTCTTGGCCATTCTCACCAGGAGGACGTCATCCGCCACTCTCTCCCATTCCTCTCCTGCACTGTGGGAGTGGAACAACTGGAGACAGACAGAGAGAGAGAAATGGAAAAAGTTTCGCAAGTTTGAAATTTGTAGTTCCCCTCCAACTCTAAACCTTTAAACGAGCATATTTCCACCCACAAGGCACTGAAAGTTGAGTTTCTATACTTTATGGCCCAAAACTTATCTCTTAAGTGTTTTTCAGTAGTGCGCCCACCTCGGTTCCAGCAGCCAGTATCATGTGATCAGGTGACACCTCGCTGATATATAGATCGTCTGTCACGTCAAAACCAGAGGAAGGGAGGAGGACTTTGACCCACGTCTTCCCGCCATTGCTGGTTACAAACATCGCCTTCTTGTCCTTGGAGACGACGATGGCTCGTCTGTGTGAGGCGGGTGCCACCTGGAGGGACGAGGGAGCCACAGCGCCAGGGATGAGGTTGGGGTGAGGACTGAAGCTGAAAATCCCGTAGCTCTTAGGGACCCTGCACGGAGAGAGAGAGAGAGGGGGGGGGAGAGGAGAGATGGGAGGGAGGAGAGGAGAGAGAGGAGGGAGGAAGGGAGGAGAGGGGAGGGAGGGAGAACACCACCATACAGTACATTATGGAAAGGAAGGGCCTTACAAAAAAGGGAGCATTTGTCACTTTACACACATATAACTAACTAAAATTATACATAAACCTCCCACACATTCAAACCCTATTGTTATGCGCATACAACATACATAAATACATCCGTACCATTGAAGCTATTGAGAACTTTAACAATTACAGGGCTGTGATTACAGTAAAACACAGACGGGAAGAATTACGAGAGAGAGAGAGAGAGAGAGAGGAGAGAAGTTTGAACATGTCTTACCCCAGCCACACCGTGGCCCTATCACTGTCTGACGCTACTATCAGAATGTTCTGGAAGAGAAGGCAGATTCAAACGCCAGCCATAGCTGAGAGGATTACAACCACTTACGTCATCCTCCACCCAAACTGCCTGAATGGTTTCTGCTGTCTCCGACAGAGGCATCTGTAGCACGCAATATACGGAGGTGGTCACATAGATTACGGATAAAGCTATAGAATGCCGACTTACAGCGTCCGTTTCTAAGAGATCGGGCTTTTTCAAGCCGCAGTTTCGCTCGTCTGCGTCGGCAGATCTGGCGGTTCTGGCGCCTAGCTCGGCTGCTGGGTAGGAGAACGGCTTGGCTTCAGCCAGCTTCTGCCTGAGAGCGAGATGGGGGCGAAAGGAGGGAGACGGGTCGCGCCGCTTGACGAACTGTCTCGTCGTCTTCCCCGCAGAGCTCCTCCCGTACAGGTTCCCGCAGGTGAGAGAAAAGACAGCGGCCAGAATCACGACAACCAGGCCTATACGACCCGCCATAATCTCTTCTCTGAGAAAGATGCACAGTCACATGCACGCTCGGAAAACACCACGCCCACTTTTAAGCGCGCTTAAAATAGAACTCGTGCGCTTATCAATTAGAGCCCCTCCCCCTTGTTTCCCCTTACAACTTGACTCCATCTAATGTAGAGATGTTCAAGAAAGAATATCAGGTAGTAAGCCTTTTCTCACCCTCAACCTAACGGTTTTTCGGTGCTCACGTGAGCAGGGCGGCAGTCACGTGATGGTGCTGAGTGCCCAGGGCAAAGACCCAACAGCACACTGCAGACAGACAGGCAGTGTCAGTCTCAGGTTAGGAGGCATCTGGTTCAAGTGAGCTCCTGGCTAATATTGTCGATCTCCAACCTGATTTGCAGGTATGACAAGGGTGTCCGTGGTTACGTTCATGTGTTGGAGGGGGACAGTATAACCACTAGGATCCACTTGCCAGCCAGCGACAGAACCTCCCGTGAGCTGTTGTCAAATATAATTTTTTTAGGTGTTTTCTGCCATCCAATAAGACTGGATACCATTCATACCAATGTGTTACGTACTGTACATGTCCAGTGGGTCTCGAGCAGTCGTTCATCATACTGCAAGCAGCTGTCCAGAGAGATGCTCGATTTACAGTGGAGTTCGTGTAAGTCCCTCTTCTAATAAGATATCTTCCTTCCTCAAGTGTATCTTGCACGCATTTTAACCCCCGAACCTCTCCTCTTATGGACAGTTCCGTTCGTTTTTGGATTAGAGTGGTTCTGTTATCTCTTGCCCTTCATCTTTAAATCCCTATTGATCCTCCTCACCCCCTCCCTCCACAGTCTCCAGGACGGAAAGGGGGGAAGAAGGAGAATAAATTTCTCTTCGTCTTTAAAGGAACCTTCAATATCGACACTGATTGCCAGGGTTCCCTTCGTTACCCAGGCAACTGGAGAGGTGAGTAAACAAAGCAACAAAGTTTTGCTTTTTCATTTGGGATTTTCAATTTTTCCAAAAGTGGTGCAACTATTGCTTCGACCTTTCGTCTCTGATGGCAGAGCTGTTTCCTAGCACACCTACAAGTCGTTAGAGTCGCTGGTTGTGGGCGGAGCTTGTCTTCTTCGTAGGGTGTTCACGATGAGAGAGAGGCCGAGGGAGAGTAACGAACTCGTTAACGAGGATGGGGCAAGGGACATCCCCCAAGCCTGCCAGATGACAATCACACACACCCCCATTCCCACACATGTATGAAATGCTGCATCATGTGCATCTCCGTGTGCATGTCATGTGACCAACAGTCCATTTCAGATGATGTCAGCTGTATTTCCGGACCACCAGAGGACCACAGATAGCCACAGTGGTTGCAGGAGGGTACCGCAATCGTCTGGTCACCCTCCCACACATGTCGCTTTCGGGAAAAAGGTGGCTATTCCTGATCACATTCTTGCCAGACAGGTTGGCATGCAACACATGTGAGCAATATAAACTCTTCTTATTTTAACCCTTTTCTCTCAGGCAACTAGTAGAAGTGCTGGAAATGTGAGGAAGAAAACCGAACCCCAATCTATAGGTATGGAATTGAGACAGAGTTCGGCTCCTATTGTAGTCCGTGGTGGCAGAGGTGTTGTGAAGGTCAAAGGGGCGGGGCCGGGGAGTGGGCGGAGTCACGCACAGAGTAAGAAGTCGGATGCAGAGAAAAGGGGGAGAGGGAGAGTGGAAAGGGGAACCCCTCTGACAGAGACGAGCTGCTAGCACTGAATGTGCTGGGAGTCCAGCAACTGAGAATGAGGGAGGGAGGGACGAAGACGAGTGGGCGGGGCCTCGTGGCTAAAGACTCGGGTCTGAGATCTGGGAGAGAATGCAAGAGTGACATGGAATCAGGACAAGCTGACACCAGCTACCTTGACTCCAGCGGTGGAGAGGTAGAGGAAGAGACTGGAGGGGAGAGAGGAGAAGAGGGAATGAAAGATAAAGGAACGGAGAGGAGCAACTGTTTTCCTATTTCTCTCCACCAAAGAGTGCAGGATTGGCACACACTACATCTGTAAGGAGGCCAACGTCACACGGAGCAAATCTGTATTGCGAAACAAAAAGGCTCGTGCAACCTTGTTTTATGCTCTTGCAACAAAATTGCAGGTAGTGTTTATCGTATGCAGCATGTTGCATAAACCCATCGAGTGGCGTGAACATAATACCTTTTCCTTCTCTCTCTCTCTCTCTCTCTAATAATAGGGAGAAGCTGGAAGCAGTGTCAGAGATGTTGAACTAAATCAAGACTTTATGTTGCATTCTGCAACTGTGTTTAACGAACTGGGGTACCCCATCACGGGACCGACCAATCAGATGTGTCCAGTGAAACGTCGTCGTCGGCATCCGACGAGGTCATGGAAAAGGGAATTCCCCTGGCTAGTGGGGATGAGTTGAACCAGACGAGACTTTCAGATGTATGCAGTACATGTATAGTGGCAGTTCACTTGCAAAATTGTGTTTGAAAACTGATTCTGTGTGTCAGGACTATGACTGGAGGCAGTATGCCAGTCGAGAGGACACACCCCTTTCCCCATCTTCACCACACACACTTCTTCACCTCCCCACCTATCACCACGGCAACAGCACCACTCCTGAACCAGACACCAGCACTCTCTCCGTACGTCATATGTTTGTAATGATGATGTCATTCTTTATTATGTCATCATTGTTGCAGATGATTGACAAACCAGCTGCACATTCTTTACTGGACACCTTGGATACCAGGTAGGTGATAATCACCCCATTTGCCCTCTGAACCCAATTAAACCTGCCCCACCCACCAGAGGGATGGGTGGAGCTCTGAGTCCTGAGCTGCAGGATGAGCCGGTTTTGGCCGACCGGTCAAACCAGTCAAACGGGTCAGACGAGGAGCTGGAGCTCATGTACGATCCTCAACTTCGCTGTTTCTTTGACCCCCAGACCCACAAGTACTACGAACTCATCCAGTGACAATCATTCAAATCCCACATATTATAATAATAATTATACTAACACCATCATATTATATACTAATCCTCACATAACTATTGTCTGCTCTTCCTCTCAACTTCTTACTGAAAGTATGACCAAAATTTTCTAACCCTCTACCAAGTGTCTCTCTCATATATACACTGTAGCTTGTCAGCAATATAATATACAATGATTGAGTACATGACAATAACTATACAACACACAGACGGTTTCTGTAGATATCCTCTCTATTTAGCTTGCAACAGTTTCTACAGGCAAAAGAGAAAAATAAGACGGGTCAACAAGGAAATGGAAAAAATTGTACAATTATCCTTTTTTGGTAGGGTCTTTGCCTATAATTTGTAAGTTTCACGGCATTTGGAAATTAAAGACACACTTGTCTTGCTGTCTCCACACACGAGGAGAAGGCTTTGACTTCATCGCTGCAGAGGAGAGGTTTTCTGGGGTGGCTCTGGTAGCACCGGAGGACTTCGTTTCTCTTGTCCTCACAGACTGGGAGCATGTCCAGCACATCTGCCTCTCTGGTGGAAATAGCAGCAGCAGGGTAAAGAGATCGCCACACACACTCTTTACGTGTATTTCCGAGTAAGAGACACCTACTGGAATTTTTGTCTGATTTCTCCAACTGTCTTGACAAACTCATCGTCAGTCACATGCTTCAGTTCAGAGTTCTACAGAAAGAGAATCCAGTACATAGAGAGAGAAGTAGCTGAGGGGAGTGTTACGTTGCCGTGACTACCTTTTCTCTCTCCAGTTCGTACTTCCTCTGCCAGACACTGACCTCTCTCCTCTCTCCTCCCCTTCTCCCACCTGGAAGTGCACTCGATATCTGCACACACACACACACAGGGAATATTGAGCAAAGTTTAGCAACAGTTGAACATCTTATAAACTTCAACCAAGACCTAATGTTTTAGTAAACCTCTGAATAAAGGACACCTCTGTACAAAGAAAGGTTTCCATGGTCTCAGTGTGCCCTTTATCCATCGCAATAATGTTGCAGCCAAATGACAAACCGCACCATATCGTCTGTTGTAAGGTGAGGAATATCACTGGTTGTGTCCTCAGGATAATGAGGAGGTGGAGATCTGTTTCTCCTCTCTCTTCTTCCTCCCTCTCCCCCATTTTCTTCTTCCTGCCTCTCTTGCACGTACTCCAGAAAGTCTTGAGTGACCTGCAGAACCATCGACAAAGACTAGGAGGAGTTCTATTTAGAGTTCCTCTCTCACGATTATCTGAGGTCCGTCCTCTCCCGCTCTCTCTTCCACTGTCACTTCCCTCTCCCCTTCTCCCGAAGACTGTCCGCTCCCCATTTCTCTCACGGCTAACTCAGGGACAAAGGTCATCGGAATCGCCTTGCGTTTTGGCGCATGCGCATACGAACGCTTGTCGTAGAGAGCTAGCTAGAGAGAGCAGCTCTGCAGTCTCGATCTCAGCTCCCTGAAAGCAGCGATGGAAGGGGATAAAGAGGAAAAGGGTTGGCAGTTTATGGACGAGTACTGGTTCAACGTGAAGTTCATCTACCGTCGACGCGAGGCGAGCAGCGTGTTTCTGGCGGGAGACTTCTGCGGCTGGCGAAATGACGTGCACGCCATGACTCCGTGCGAGGAAGGCTTCTCGGTCACTGTCCCGCTCTCCGAGGGTTTCTACGAGTACAAGTTCCTCGCGGACGGCGAGTGGGCTGTGGATGATCACAATCCGCACAGGTCCGTAAACTACGGAAACTCCGTCATGTTCGTACACATGGACCCTTCCGTATACGGCTTCCGCGAGCAACACGCCCCCCACCGAGATTTCAACCGCCCGGGGGCTGACGGGACCCAATTTCGAGTCCATTCCCCTTCAGTTCCAACAGAATTAGCATCTCAGGGGATCGTCCAACGACTAATTTTCGTTTACCTCCCCCCCTCGTATTTCAGCGACCCACAGCGAACATTCCCCGTTCTCTATTGCAACGATGGTCAGAATATTTTCTCGACCCCCCAGGACAGGGGGGCTCCAAATGGAGGGGGCTGGTACCTCGACTGCCAAACTGGACCACTTGTGGTCGCAAGGGGAACTCCCTGAATTTATACTCGTGGGGGTCCCGAATTCGGACTTTGTGTGTGTGGGGAACCGCGTGCGAGAATATTGCACCCGTTCCCTCAAGGACACCTCTGACGACCCCTACACCAGGTACCTGGTGGAGGTCGTGAAGGGAGAGGTTGATTCTAATTATCGCACACTCCGAGACCGGGACAACACTTTTCTACTAGGAGCATCGATGGGGGGACTTCAGGCGCTTGTAGCTGGTCTAAACTGGTCAAATGTGTTTGGTGGGGTGCTCTGTTTCTCCCCGGCTCTCTGGTTTGTCGATAGCTCCAACTTTTCTTGCTACGACTTTGTGAATTCGTTAAAGGACAAGGAACAGGGACGTCCCCAGTGCAGACTGTACATCGATGCGGGAGATTGCATGTCTGATAATTGCTATGTGGTGAAACTGATGCACCAGTGTCTCCTTGACAACGGGTGGGAAGAAGAAAAACACTTTAGATTCCATTTAGAGCCCACCATTCACAATGCTGACATGCACGCCGAGTGGGCATGGCGAGAGAGAGTACCAAATGCACTGAAATTCATTTTCTCAATTTGAACTGTAAAAAGCAATTTATCTAAATTTTATTTTCTGGATTGTTTTTGTAAAAGCCCATCTAATGAGCTGAACTTTGTACTCCGACATGAAATGAAGGTTTTTAACAGGCTTTCCTCTGTTCATTCCTGTGAGATAGGAACTTGGAGATGATGAAGGGCGAGGCTGCAGCGAGAAGGATGGCGAAGCCGTACAATGGGTGGTAGCGGAGCCAGGCGACGGCCATTACGAAGAGGGAGAGGGAGGAGCCCAGAGCCAGACTCAGGAGGAGAACACTGAGGGAGACCAACTCTCTTACCAGAGGTATCCAGTCCACTGGAGAGAGAGGGGAGAGCGTAGTTTTATGACATACATAAAACAGCACTCACACATTGCTGTAGGGGTGTGGCTTACTATTTGCATGCACATTAGTGTTATAGTATTATACATATCCACTGTAGTATAGGTTTTCTGTAGGACTGGATCGAAACAGTTAGCAGCTGGTCCATTACGAATTCCTCAGGTCGTGTTTTATGCTAAGCCTTCAGTTTCCACACGTATATACACTACCTGAACTATCTGCTAAGACTGGGTGGGTGTGCTCTGCCTACCTAGTGTGGTGAGTATCCCAGCGACCAAGTTGAATCCCACGACAGTTAGCAACCAGCCAAGGCCTCTGAGGAGCCACGTGATCGCCTGGTTGGAGGCATGCTGTCTCTCGAAAACCTCCTGTGGACAGAGACAGGAAGAAGAGGGAGGAGGAGGTGACAGGCACAAAACAGTGTAGGAGCAAGTGGAAAATTACATGCAAACAGATTACCCATAATTGTATAGAGATTGACCCTGCCCGCAAGATATATATTTCCAAGAATTTTTTGGATGGTTCTCAAAATCAAAAGATTCCCAACTTCATATGGGACAGTAAAATGTATTTTTAGCGAACGAACACACGTGGGAATTACAAATTTTCAGTAGTTTACAATTACGTTAATCATCACTTTATAGACATGAAAGTTCGAACGACTCGCTTCACTTGCCAACTGTCATGCAGTAGATTTTTAGCTCACATCCATGCTCAGTGCCTCCTGGTACAGAAATAGGACGCGGTATCCGTCGCTGGTAGTGAACGGAGTCAGGAGAGGCCCGGGGCTCTGTCTGGCCACTACAGACACCTGTGACATGGGAGTATGCGGGCATGGGAGTACGGGAATGAGACTTAGACTGCCGACTCACTGTGTCCTCTCTACCTTCGTCAGTTCTGCCTGCATACGTGTATGAGATGCGAATATCTCCCACCTGTGAGTATGGACGGACATTCACACAATTCCACAATTACACAAGTGAAATTTCACTAAAGAATTTCGTCACTATTCACGAGCAAAGTGATCCCAACTAATGTTTCAAGTTGTGATTTTTAGAAATTTGCATCCCACGTAAATTCCTTTTTTACTGACTTCGGGTCTCTGTGGAATTCCACTGTACAGCATGTCTCCATACACTGTCATAACGTTCCCTGCATTAGTCACTTCACGACTCGGGTTCAAAGGTCGGAAGTTACTAATCTCTGCTACTGCGTCGTGTGACAGCTCGTAGCGTCCCACGCTGGTCCTGTCCGCAGTCCATTCCATGCTCCCCACCGGCATGGAACGGGGGTTCTGGTGGTAGCGAGGGTCGTCGAAACTGTTGCTATTGACGACGTTGCTCCGCCAAGCGGTGCTGTAGCTATAGCGACGTTCCTCTCTGATTGTCCCGTCAGGTTCCTTGAATTCCCTGCAGCCATGGGCGAGAGAGTCACAAGTAGGAAACCGGAATATGATACCAGGAAATGGACATAGCTATGCTACCTTTTTTCAGTCTCTTCAATCCACTGGTACATTTCCACCTTTCTCTTGAGTCTCACGTAATGTCCTGCAGACGGAGGGAGGGAGAGATGACGGAGAAGAGTGAAGGAAAAAAGAAAAATAAAGAGAGTGATTCTCTATTCACAGCCCTGCCACAGTCAGGGTTGCTAGCAACAATGTAGGTCTTCCGAGTGTTGGTTCGCTTTCTTGCCTGACACTCCAAATTCTACGTCAGAGACGGGGCCACTGGTGGAGAGCTTCCCGCTGAGGTAGATGAGTTGGTTGTCCAGGACCGAATAGACGCTGTCGGGGCTTTTGACTGGTTTGCAGATATGGCTCGTCTCCACCAACATGTTGTACGTGTGCACAGACCTTCCCTGCAATGAAAACGACATACATCTTTCGAACACCTCGCGTGCAAAGAGAGAGAAAGGGGGAGAGAGAGAGATGGTGCAGACCTCGTTCAGGAAGAGAAGGGCGCATGCTCCCGCGATCAGAAACAGTCCAACGATCGAGCCGCACATGCTCCCGCCCAGCCGCTCCAGGAAGTTGGGAGCCCTCTTGTAGCTGACTCGAGTGTGTCCCGAGGACGGGCCCCCCATCATACCCGCGTAGCCCGCCGGTGGACCAGCAGCCGAGAAAGCCATCTTGATCTCTCGATCGCTAGGGGGATGGATCCGGAAATGTTTGCATTTTGCGCATGCGCACAAATTCCAACAAAAGGCGTGTTGTCCGGATATAGCTATATATAGGGGTTTGCACTTCCTGAAGTTTTACGAAGCCGCGGCTTAGGAGACTTGGTATGGCGGACAAGAAGACGAGCCAAGCCAAGCTGAGTAGCTGCGGGAGCAGCATGAGCGACAGCGGAGCCAGCGCCGCTAGCGAGGAAGGAGAAGAGGGCGGCGGACGGGAGAACGAGAAGGATCCGGACAAGGAGACGGCGGCGAGGTGTCCGAAACTAGACCTCGTCCTGCGGAAAAAGAGCGGGGGTCTTTCGGTGAGCTCTCTGGACAGCTCTGCCTCGGCGGAGAGTCTCTTGGAAGAGCTGCTGTGTGACATTAGACGGTCGCGACCTGCCAGCCTGGCGTCCACGCCGACTTTCCTGAGTTGTTCGGAGCGCGGCTCGGACTGCGAAACTGACTGCGTCAGGGACTGCGGGCGCTCAGAGGCGGAGCTGAAGGGAATGGGTGAGTCCTCAATCCCAGCTAGTTCTCACATAGTGGCTGTACGTACGTTGAAGTGACTGAAGTGCGTGTGGCTCAATCCGCTGTGCCAATCTAAAGGGAATGGGTATAGCAGAACGTCACAGAGAAAGACAAGTCCTCGCACTATAGAGCTATCAGCACTTATACAACTCAGTAACGCGATAATTCACGAAACTGATGAAAGCGATGAAAGAATGTGTGATTCTAATTGTTGTGCTGCAGGCATTGGGCAGCTACGGACGGTGCTGGAGAACTTGGAGCATGAGACGGACACTGTCAGTAGACTCCTGGTGAGACTGCTTCACGTGAGAGACAAACGGGCAGGTCGACTGGTGGCACAGTACGGGAAGCTGACTCTGGTTCTCAGACACTTTGCCAGGAGAAACAGTGAGTGTGTTCTGCTAAACCTCTGAATACAGGACAGTTTGGGGACTTGCAAAGAGCCCTTTATTTGGAGGAATTATGTGACAGAACCAAGTGTCCTTTACAGAGAGGGGTCCTTAATAGATCCTTGCATCAGAGGTTCCACTGTGTTAGGGATGAATCTAGGCCCATGGCTTCTTCCTTCCACCTTATGAGTTAAGTGTTTACTACTGTTTGCCTCTCTCAGGTTTTCCAGGGCACAAGGAGTTACAGTTTACCCTCCATAGACCTGAATCACCAGACCAACACAGCCAGGTGAGAGAGAGAGGGGGGGACAGAAGTAGAGAGAGAGAGAGAGAAGAGAGAGAGGGGTAGGAGTGTGCAGATTGAGAACAAGGACTGAACAAGGACTGAAGAGAACAAAGTCCAATTTGGCTGTCAAATTTCACTCGTCTATTATCTACTCTCTTTCTCTCAATGGCAGTGGTTGGCAGCCTGGACCGTTCTCTCGCAGTTGCCAAGAGGCATTCCCAAACACTGGAGGAAAACGGTATCTCTATCCCTCTCTATGTTTAGCTTCCCAAAGCAAGTTGCACATGTCATTAACTAAAAGAGGACCAATGTTCATTTTCCCTCACTTTGCAAGTTTGTCTAAGTTATGAAATTTGCAGTGTGAAGCTGCAAAATGTAGAGACTGCATCTACAAACATACCAAAGAGTATTTTAAGCATCATAAATGCCAGCCTTATATTGCTGCCAATGGCTGCATGCAATGAATACATTGTTGCTTTGTGCCATATAGCTATGGAGTTCCTTGGCCGAGTACGGAACACGTGGCGTGAACTGGACAGTCCAGTTACAGAACCTGTTTAGCGAGTTTTCCACACCGGAGGACGAGAAACTGGGGACCCAGATTGTCAAGGTGAACACCGTGGGTGTGTGTGTGTGTGTTTGACGTGAGAACACAATCTCCAAGAATGTGGACTTATTCCATTTGTAGTGTTTTCCGCATGTCCACTGTTGCAACTTACTCCCTCCCTCCCTCCCTCCCCTCCCTCCCTCCCTTGTCCACAGGACCTCCATCGTACCGGTACCACTGGATTCAGCAGTGAAGAAGAGCATGGCGTCTTGAAAAGAGTCCTACTGGCATATGCCAGGTACAACAAGAAGACGGGCTATTGTCAAGGTTTCAACATCCTCGCAGCCTTTATTCTGAAGGTCGTGGAGTTTGACGAGGCCATGGCTCTTATGGTAAATAGTACCACAACATTCTATGGAGCTGGAGCACTGCAGTCATTACAGCAGTTCCAGAAACTGTCCAGTTGTGAATTTTACACAATCTTAACACTGTGTGGTAGTTTTGGCTGTGCTGTAGCACTTATCTTGTGTACAAGCATTGTTTTTTGTTGTTGTTGTTGTTGTTTACCTCAGATCCTGGTGTACGTGGTCGACCACACTCTCCCCGAGAACTATTTCTCACACACTCTCTATGCTCTCTCGGGCGACATGGCCGTGTTTCGCCATCTCCTCAAATTCTACCTCCCCGAACTCGCCCTGCACATGGAGACCCTTCAAAAAGAGGCTTCGGGGACAATCAGGAAATCATACTCCTCTGAAAACCCTCCGGACAGACAGAGCGTTCATGCCTATGAACCTCCGCTGGCTGATGTGTTTTCGATGCAGTGGTTTCTAACAATCTTTGCCTCCGTTCTTCCACGCAAGGCCTGTCGCCGAGTGTGGGACGCCATATTTCTGGAAGGATCCGAATATGTTCTGTACACGGCTGTGGCCATACTGGCTGTGATGGAAAGGTACACGTTGAGTCGGGTTGGTGTGTGTGTGTGTGTCTATGTTTTGTTTTACTTTCCTCTCTCTCACTTCTCCCTCTCTCTTTCTTTCTTTCCCCTTCCTGTGTCTGTCTTTCCTCTCTCTCCTCTCTCTTCCCCTCTCCATCTCTCCTCTCCCTTCCCCTCTCCATCTCTCCTCTCCCTTCACCTCTCAATCTCTCCTCTCCCTTCCCCTCTCATCGCTCCTCTCCCTCTCAGGGACCTACTGCTCACCTCGACAGCAGCAGATTTCTACATGGCAATGTCCAAACTGTCTGAACAGCTCAGGAAGGCCCACATAATGTCATCGGCCGAATTCTTGCAGGTTACACCCCCCTCACACCCTCCCTCCCTCCCATCCTCCCCACCTCCTTCTAGTCTTCCGTGGAGAACTTTCTTACCCCTCGAGGCTCGCCTCTCTCTACTTCTTTAGTCATGCAATTCCATTACGTATGTCTTTTCCACTCAGTCTAATGCCTCTATGCTGTGCATCTGGTGTACCACACATTTGGCGAGTTGGGCACTCTTACATTACCTCCAAATTGGTCCACTCTCAACCCTTATAATTAACAATTTTCCCACTTACACCTCTGAGGCCTCTTATAATTAACAATTTTCCCACTTACACCTCTGAGGCCTCTTATAATTAACAATTTTCCCACTTACACCTCTGAGGCCTCTTATAATTAACAATTTTCCCACTTATACCTCTGAGGCCTCTTATAATTAACAATTTTCCCACTTATACCTCTGAGGCCTCTTATAATTAACAATTTTCCCACAAACAGGGATATATATACCATTTTGGCATCCTCAAAAATAGAAATCCAAGCATAATATACAGGCGTAATAAGCTTGGCCTGTGAACCACAATTACAGGAGGTTGTAAATGATTGTTTTTTCTCCCGCTAATCTTCAGGTGGTGTATGCAATTAAGAGAACCACGTCTTTCGATTCTGACGAACCAGTCCCTGTCGTGTCTGATTTGAGGGAGAAGTTCACGTACAATATCTACCCCTGCGGCCTTCAGCCAGAGTTGGGCGGGGCTAGGAAGGAGCCACGCCCAATGGCACCGCTGCCGAGCAGAGGCGGTTCGTTCACAGCGGAGTCCAGCTGCGACGAGTCGCGAAAGAGATCCATGAAACTCCCAGAGAGGAGGAAAAACGGACATGACAAGAAGATGTGGGATGTTAGAGAAACACCTTCGAAGGCCAGTCTCCAGAAAACACTGTGTGTCGGAGGAGAGGGAGACGATTATTCAACGGCCATGTCTGGCCCTCTTCACCAACAGCTGCGACACCTCGGGAAACACTATTCCTCCATAGCACAGCAACCGACACACATCCACTGCGACATGCACCTCACTCCCCCCATCGCCCGTGCCTTCTGCCCGCAACAGCAGAAAGACAGGAGCCCCGTACCATACTACACTGCGTATGCAGCAGACGTCCCTCTCAAAGTCATCCAACAGAGTCGAGTGCTGAGTGGGTTCGATCAGATGGTTAAACTCCACGAACAGAGAAAGGAGCAGTTTATGATCTCCTTCACAGAGCCTTATCTGCAAACCGGGGAGACTGGGGAGGGAGGGGGAAGTGGAACTAACGCAGCCTTGACACGCTCATGTTCAAACCAATCAAATGTTCACAAAATCATCTTCCGCTTTCACGTTTTTCAGCATGAATTTTACCTCATCTTCACTCTGCCCCTTCATCGGCGCTGTTTAATATTTTCTTGTTCAAAATAAACGTCAGATCAAATTTTGGTTTTCAATTATATACAAGCAGGGCTTTGCGTAGCACTCATACGTGAGCTGGTCTCCATGGCTTATTAATCCCTTTTGCATGTGCGCAACGACGTAAACTAGCAAGGTGTGGCATCAGTGTGCTCCTGCATAATTATATAGAACACCAATTTTTTAACCTGCGCATCTGCGCACATTTGTTTCTCAAAATGTTTCAGATGACATAAAATTAATATCCACAGAGACTCTAGTCTACAGGTCTTTCAGCGATGCCTCCCATACAGACAAATTTGGTCTCGAGATACTCGCGGAGTCCGTACCTCCCGCCCTCTTTCCCCAGTCCACTCTGCTTCATTCCTCCAAATATGGTATTCTCTGATGTAATCATCGTCTCGTTAACCCCGACCATCCCGGTCTCCAGGGCCTCGCTGACTCTCCAGATCTGTCCTGGATCCCCCGAGTAGAAGTAACCTACACACCAACACAGTGACACTCTGAATAGGAGACACTTCAGGGACATCAAGTGTTCTTAATTCAGAGGCGTCCCCAGTGTATTAGTATGGGATAGAACCGTGTATTCCTATCAGAGAAGTGTTTTTTCCGGAGAGCCTTTTGTGTGTGTGTGTGTGTGTGTGTGTGTGTGTGTGTGTGTGTGTGTGTAACAAACCAGCTAGGCCAAAGGGTGTTGCATTTGCCATCGTAATTCCCTCTTCCTCATCATCAAAACTGCGGAAATACAGCTAAAAGTCACATTAGGTATTTCGATTCCATTGGTTGATTTGCTCACGTCATGACAGCTGCAAGTGGTCCGAAGGTCTCCTCACAAGTAACCCTCATCTCCCCAGACACACCCACCGCCACAGACGGACGGAAGAACAGCGACCCCAGCTCCTCTGCTCTGGCCCCGCCCACCAATAACTCCGCCCCTTTCTCCACTGCATCATTCACGTGATTCTCCACCTACAGAGCCACACCCAAAAGTCACATGACAGACTACATCATTAATTTGTGAGAGAAAATTAAAAACTGATGCACCTTTTGTGCAGCTGCCTCATTAATGAGTGGCCCCTGCTGGCTTGACTCGTCAAACGGGTTTCCCTGAACAAGTTTCGAGACGGCAGAAACCAGTTTCTCAACAAACTCGTCGTGGACACCTCGCTGTACAAGGATCCTGTTGGTGCAGATACACGTCTGACCGGTATTACGAAACTTGCTCGCCATCGCCCCGGCAACTGCCTGGTCGATGTCGGCAGAATTGAATATGAGGAGAGGAGCATTTCCTCCAAGTTCAAGTGACACCTTCTTGACTGTACTGGCACACTGAGCCATCAGCAACTGACAATGAAAATGTATTACATAATAGAAAGGTGAGCTCCCTATTACAACTTAATTGGGACATGTTTTGCGATTACTGTAATATATAATATTCAGCGAAAAAGAAAAAAGAGAAGCATGGAGACCTTGCCAACGGTCGTCGAGCCGGTGAAGGAGAGTTTACGGACGAGATCGCTGCTGGCCAGAGTCGTCCCGACCGAGGGGGTGGAGTCTCGACTGGACGTCACCACGTTGAATACACCTGGGGGAATCCCCGCCTCATGTGCCAGCTAAGAGGGGGAGAGAGAGGTTAGTTGACTGATTATTACAAAGTGGGGACCTCCCAATAGAGAGAAATCAATCCACATGCAAAATGTTGCGGACGTGATCGATTTTTGCTATAGGAAACCTGAAAAATCACAGAAGAATGTTAATCCACACAACATATCTCTCCCACGAATACAAAATAAAATTTCATATTTCTGAGTCTGAACCTCGGCAATAGCAAGAGCAGAAAACGGAGTCTCTTCCGAAGGTTTCACCACCACCGCACACCCTGCAGCAAGTGCCGGGCCTGCCTTGCGAGTTATCATGGCAACCGGGAAATTCCACGGCGTCACTAGAGCTGCCACGCCCACCGGTTGGCTAACGAGCAGGGTCCTCCTCCCCGGAACGAGGGAAGACAACACCTCTCCTTCTATTCTCTTCGCCTCTTCTGCATTCCATGAGATGAAGGAAGCACCGTAGTCAACTTCCCCTCGTGACTCTCTCAACACCTTCCCCTACACACAGGGGGAAACAGAGGGGTTAAATCACAGAGAGACACAGAGGGGTTAAATCACAAATGCAACTGAAGAGTGTCACATGCTGTGATGCATGTAATCTTACGCGCGCAAGGGGCCAAGGACCACAAATTACCGAGGCATAATTGTCCTGATTACAAAAAGGTATACCATTCCACATGTATGTGTGTTATGTGAGAGGTAAGGTCTCTACATACGGCCTCCACGGTGATAAGCTTTGCAAGCTCCTCCTTGTTGGCCATAATGGCATCGTACCATCTTCCAAGTCCCTTCGCTCTCTCCTGAATACAGAGGGTTAGCCAATTGAAGGTCTGTCTCTACTGACCTTGCAGGGAAGGGCCGCCCATTGCCGCTGAGCCTTGTGGGCAGCCTCGATGGCTTCCTCGGTGTCCGAAACTCCCATGTCCGGAACCTGTGTCCGGAAAAACAAGTATATAGCTACATATCTTTCAGTGAAACTTGATAATTCTTACTTCTGCGATGAGCTCGCCATTGGCTGGATTCAGGACGGGGAATGTTTTACCGGACGCGGCTTCTACCCATCTACCGGACACCCAGGCCCGTCCGCGGAGCAGAGCTAACCGGACAGTGTTAGGAACACCTCGACCGACGACCGGCTGAGCCATTGTTTGTGGGAGTGGGTTGGCGCATGCGCGTTAGTAAAACCAGTTGGCGGGAAAACCGCGCCATGTTCCCTTCTTGATGTTCGCTTCTTGATGTTCGCTTCTTGATGTTCGCTTCTTTGTTTTGTGATGGATCCAGCTTACGGAGACGGTAAGAGACGGCGTGGCTGCGTGCCTACGGCTCTCTCACGACACTGTGTGTCTGTCTGTGTATCAGATCTATGGGCGGGAGGATTTTCTAGCGAGGAAGAGGATGAGAATGGAGGGAAGAAGTCGAACGAAGATCTTGACCTGCTGGCCAGTTTGGTAGAGGAGAGGGAAGGGGAAGGGGAAGGTGGGAGGGAGAGGGGTGGGGAGGGAGAAACGTTTGAGGAAGCTCTGACTAAGCCAGACGATGTCTCACTCATGAGAAGTAAGTCAGTGTATAGTTAGTTGATCTTCAATTGTTGCAATAATACACACTCAGCTAAGATGGAGGCTATGGAGAAAGAACTGTTGAAACTCAGACAACAAGTAGCTGAATCATCGCCGACTAGCCACACCCACCAAAACAGACCACACCCACAGAGCCAAGCCATGCCAAAGAAATCTCCGCCCACTTTGAAGAAAACCTCGTCGGTTGCCAAGGCGACAAAGCCGGCTAAAACAGCAAAGCGGGCGGATGGACTGAGTGAGAGTGGGGCAGCTGTGGGGGAGAGGGGTGTGGCAGAGAAGGTGGTTGCTCAGAGGAAGGCTGAGAGGGAGCAGAACATCGTGGCTGACACCTTCTCTGGACTCAGGATAAAGTAAGATTTGGTTCATCTCTGATGCTTTTTTATTTTTATAGGGGACACTTATTAGCTCATTTCCTCCTCAAATTTTGATGTTTAACCATCAAAATTTTTTTGAAAAACTGATAATTACAGGTTTCTCTAACGTTTCCAGGAACCCTCTGGTGTCCAGTGAGCTGATGCAGAAGAGGATGCAGGGACGGAAGATGATAAAAATCCCAAACATCTTGTCTCGTGTGAGGAGTTCCGACGACATCACGGGGGACTGGGTGACTATGGGGGTCGTGGTGGACAAACTGCCCCCCAGGGACTCTGCCAAGGGGAACAAGTATGCCGTGTGGAAGTTGTCCGACTTGTCGAGCCAGTCGTCCGTCGTCTCGCTGTTCCTCTTTGGGAAGGCGTACCAGGAGCACTGGAAGATGGTCCAGAGTAGTGTGGTGGCACTGCTCAACCCAACCGTCATGCCAAACAGAGAGGTAGACTCTCTCCTCTTTCTCTCTTTCTTACATTCAGCTGCGATTTTCTAGTGCAAACATATCCCCAAAAGTGAAGTTGTAAGTCCTAAAGTGTTACTGTTCCTTGTTGCTACATTGTCGAGTGCATTGAACATCTCTCCATACAGACTGGGGCAGTGGACACCAGCTCAAAGCAGCTGGCCCTCTCTCTGGACAATCCTCAGAAACTAATGCCGCTCGGCATCTCCCAGGATTTCACCGTCTGCCGTGCCACCACCAAAGCCGGTCGCAAGTGCACCAACTTTGCCAAGGCCTCGGACGGAGGGTTCTGTGACTACCACATCCAGGGAGCCTACAAGAAGATGAGGACTGGGAGAATGGACTGCCAAGGAGGGTAAGAATTGGCTGGACAACACTTTATTGGCAGAGTAACGGGTGTGCAAAATTTTAGAATTTTTACGTGTGTTCACGAATGTATGGGCAGTGCCGTCTGCATACATGTATAAGAATAAAAATAGCACACTTCATGGGACTGTAGTGAGCTCGTTTAACTAGTTTGAATAACGAGTTTCCAATGTCAACTTTACCTGATCTCTGCAACGTTCCACGTGATGTGTTTCCTAAGGTACGGACCGTCCACTGCCAACATTCGTGGGAGACTCTTCAAAGATTCAAAGACTGATGTCTTCTACTATGGAGGGAAGAGTTACACGTCTGGAGGAGGGGGGGTGTCCTCGGGGAGGGGGGCAGGAGGGGAGGAGGGAGGGGGGCAGGACAAGAGGCTGTTTGCCAGAGGAGCGAGAGAGAGTCTGGTGGAGATATCGCAGGAGGTGGCTGGCAGGAGGTCGGAGGGTTCAGCCGGAGCAGTGAGGCCAGGGAAGAGTGTCACCATCTCTGACGGAGGAAATATCTTGTAAGCCTCTTTGGAATAGTGGGAGAAAGAAAACTTCACACTTTTTTTGACCAACTGTGTGACTTGCAAATTTTAACTAAGTTTTCTCTGCAAAATTTTCCCTGCCACTAAATTTGTGACTCCCTCTAAAATTTCCTGCAATATGGTACGTACAACTTACTCGCCTGCCATGCCATCCAGTCAGGAGATGTTGAGAAGCCAGAGACCTGGAGCCATGTTAATGAACAGACACCTCGAGAAGGAGAAGAAGACACAAGGTTCATTTGCAACATGTTTGTAGCAGCTAGTTGCCTGGTGTGTAAGATGGCCTTTGTACAAGTACAGATTTTTTTGTTTTTTTGTCAAACTACGTTGTAGCTTTGTGAGGCGCACTCTTCTCTCTCGGTATCGCAGCTGCCAAACCAACTGAAAAGTCAGCCTCAGAGCTACTGCGAGAGGAAGGAGTGAGGGAGGTTGGGGAGAGGAAGGAGGGAGTGGCCGGTTCCCGTTCCAGCGTGTCTCCATTCCAGCCTACCCTGGGCCGGGGACTGGCTCCAGGCTCAGTGGTTGACTTCACCTCTGGACAGAATCCAGCACAGCTCAAGAACAGACTAGCGGCGGTCAAGAAGGTACGACTACACATTAGCAGCAGTAGAAGAGTTAATGTGTGTTGCTGTAGCTAAAGGCGGCAGCCATCCTGAGGAAGAAAGAGAAGAGAGAAAGTGGACCGAATGATATTCTCCATCGAGTGGAGGAAAATAGAGAGAAGGATGCAACTCCATTCACAGCTGAGGAGAAGAAAGAGGAGGAGGGAGACAAGGAAGAAGGTCCCCTGAAGAAAAGAAGAAAACTGGATTCTGATGAAATCGATGAAATCCTCAACGCCAAGTCTTCCCACAACTGGGAGGCTAGAGAGGCAAGTCATGTGACAGTCACATGTGGATCACATGATGTCATATGACCCCTGTAGGCAGAGTGGGAGAGAGAGGAGCAGTATTTCGCACTGCGAGAGAAGAAAGAAAACATGGAGGAGAAGCTAGGCTCCATACGGGAGCTCAACGTCTATGTCTCCCAATGCAAACAGGTACAAATAATTGATAAGTCTATTAACTTTTTAACCCCCGAAAAAACTTCCCAATTGCATAATGAATATCTCGGGGAGGGTTATAGAGTACAAGCACAGCTTCCGTTTGCTCTCTTGCAAATTTCTGCAGATGCAAACTAAGTTTGTTCGTAAATCGACTTTAATCTATGGTGATTCCCCAGCAGCAAGGCATACAACTATTTTCTCCCTCTCTCTCTCTCTCTCTCTTCCTATCTCCTCCTCTCAGTGTGGCTACGTGGCAGAGCACGCCAGTGACATGTGCCAGAAAGAAGGCCACGCCCTCTCTCGATTCAAGGCCGTGAAGCGATGTTTCGAGTGTCAGGAATGCCGAGAGAGGGCTCACACCTACAACGCCAAATACCCTCCCTTCTCCTGCAGGCAGGCTGGCTTGTTTACTTGTTTACCAATAGTTGTTTGTTTTCATGTTCTGTACATGTACAGCAACGTTTGTTTGTTTTCTTGTGTTTATATGCATATTGAATGAATGCTTTTTCATTTGTGTAGGAAATGTGGCAGTAAATCTTACAAACAGACTTCCTTCTTTCGTGTAAGCATTCGTGTAATGTATAAATGGGACAATGATATGATGAATTTTTCTGCCTTGATCGATCCCAGGAGAGGAAGGGTCCGAAGATTGGAGGAGAGAATTTAATTTTGAGAGGAAGAGAAGAGAAATTCTTGCATTAGTTTTACCGGCCAAATTTGTGATTACATAATTCACAAGCGCGCGTCGCCGCGTGCGCGTGTGTGCGTGCGTGCGCGCGTGCAAAACGGCGAGCATGCATAAAGGTCAGGGAAGTTGCAGGCGAGTTCGTTGCAGGCGCACTGTCGGTCGCGCGCTAGCTTCAGACCTGGTAAAAGACGAAGAGCAAGTAGAGCTGGCGGAGGTGTAGACGATGCAGATATCGCAGGGAAAATGGTGCCACGTGGAGCTCCGTCTTACGGCGGCGCTGATTTCTGCAGTACTGGTGACGGGAGCTGCGGGCAGCGAGGCAAGCAGGCCAAGTAGACTAGCTAGCTACCTTTTTCTCTTGGGCCTATATAGCTTTCGGATTCCATTAGCCGAGTCCGTGCAGAGTTTGTATTAGAATGCTGTTGCATTGTGCACGTTGCCGCAGGGAGTGCCGTCCGTGGGCGGCGGCGGCGGCATAAGGATTGTTCCTTACTACCACGCTTCAGTACTGAGGTATATAGTTACGTGGCATGCGACAATTGAGCTACTGTCTCTTTATGTTGCACTAGTTTATCGGCAGAACAGGAGACTCTGCTAAAGGTAACACAGCAAACTTGCAGACGCACAGATGTACATAGATCGTGTTTGATAACAGAATGTCCTGTTGGAACCTACTCTGTCTTGGTTTGGAGGTGTACTGAAGGTTCAGCGTCCGCTGTCACCACTCGTATTTGAACGGTATGCTGTGTGCACCTGGGATGCAGCGCCACAACCAACAGCATGCAATTTCAATTTTCAACCCATCTGCCTTGTGTGACAGATGTCTCTGGTAATGTGTTATGCCATTAAGTTGCAGCCACTCACACAAGTGATTCTGCGTCTTCTGTTTTGGTGGGTGGGCCACAGACGACAGCTGTTTTTCAGATATAGCTTCAGATATGGCTGGCGCTCCAATTTCCCCCCTAATTCGATTTAATGTCCCGATGATGCATAGCTGTTGCCATCTGGGGACCAGACATGGTGGTGGTGTAGGAGTAGAATAATTAGAGGGGTGTCCTCGTTCCGTTCCACAGATCGTGCTCTGAGACTCACAGGTATGTGGACCGGAGGCGGTACTGCGTGGGGACCTGCTCTACCTCCACCTTGTGCGGGACCACACCCATTCCCGAGCAACACCTGCTGGTAATGGAACCTTCCCCTGTCTCTTTCCCAGTGTATATATAACCTGCCCTCAGGAGAGGAAAAGGCTCTGGTTACTGTTAGCAGATCTTTCTTTGTTGTTCTTGGAGTGTCTTGATAGACCAATCAGATTGTAGTATTTGTCAGGGGTGTGACAATCTTTGTAAGGTGGTCTATGATGCATCAGCACAACCAAGAAGATGCTCAATAGTTACTGAGGGTGGAGTCTGGGAACAAGACTACCATCTCCCCTCCCTTCTCTCCCCCCCAGCCATGTCGATCGTGTCAAGGAACTAACTGCAGCGAGGCGGCGGACACACTTTGGCCGTGGCAAGTCGGAGTCCCGGGTGCTGATCTGGTAGTCTACGTATCTGTCGTCTCGGACAATTACAACAAGTGTCGTACGTTTTCTACATCAAAACATCTTGTTCTCTTGTACAAAACCTTATCTCTTGGAATTCTACAGTTTTTCCTAAAAGTAAAATTTGCTAACATTTTTACGGGTAAAATTTTTGTGTTTTAGGAGCAGGATGTGAAATTGTATGACGTTGCCTATTTCTCTCTCTCTCTCCTCGCCTTGTCTTCAGGCTATCAGTCAGTGTACGGTGGTCACTGCCAGCAGGAAAAGAGATTGGACAGACCAACTGGTGCCTATCTCGCCATCTGTCCCACGTTCCTCACTACCTCTCCAGATGTCTACCACCTCCAGATTGCCAGTGTTGTACACCACTTGGTTCGCATTCTGGTAAGCCTCCTTTCATCATACTCCTGTAATGATGACGCTGGTGGTTACGCCAACTATCAGTGCAAGCCCTCGTGTGTTTTTACTCCGATTAATCCGGACCTTGCTACCCTATATGTATGTGTTGACCATGGACCTGCTGTCTCGTTCCCACACAGGCATTCTCAGAGTCTCTGTTCCCGTTCTTCCGTGACGAGGGGGGCACCCCGCGTAACGAGCGGGACCGGGAGGGATTTCCCCTCCGTCGCCCGACGGGCGATACTCCAGTGACGGGGTAGTTCGTTACTACAACCATGCCACTTGGGAGGTGGCAAAAACTAATGAGGCACAACCACACTTTGTCAAAATGATCGTCACCCCCAATGTGGTGGTGAGTGATGTCATCGTGATGTAATACATGATGATGTAATCATTACATCGTTGTCCCTCCAGCGAGAGGTTCAGAGTCATTTTGGTTGCAGTGAGATGATAGGGGGAGAGTTGGAGAGCCAGACAGTGCTGCAGAGTGCAGCTGGAGACAGCTTCTGGGAGAAGAGAGTGTTTGGCGTGAGTAAACCTTCCCTCCCTCTCTCCTTTTCTTCTCCAAAATCTCTTCTCACCCTCCTTCTCTCTCTGAGCGGACCTTTCTCGTAACGTAGGACCTTACATTTCACCTGGCAGTTAAAGAACGGATGCCACCCTTACTTTATCTATTATCTCTCATCCACTACTGCATAGGAGGAGGTGATGACAGCTTCAGCCAGCTACTACCCAATTCTGTCTCGACTGACTCTAGCCCTCCTCCATGACTCTGGGTGAGCTGGTCTCTCTTCTCTTTCTCCTGGACACAGTAGAGCTAGCTATAGTCACCTTGTCTGCTAGTGCTGATCCTTTGAAAGTCCCTGATTAGCCGCACCATCAGTTCACACCATCAGTTGAGCCCTCTCCCCTCTCTTCCTCCTCCCTCCTATAGCTGGTATACACCAGACTATTCCTATGGCGCCAGTCTCCATTGGGGGCGTGGTCAGGGGTGTGGCTTCTTAGATGGATCTTGCTACAAGTGGGTGTGGCCAACAGAAACCAAATATGGAGAGGACACCAGTGTTGTCCCGTTCTGTCGTCACCAACAGGACTCTGCCGAGAGCTGTGTCAATGGGAGGAGGGCTGTTGGGGTGTGCTCTATTAGGAATTACCCTGCCAGACTTCCACGACCTTTCAGGGTATGGTGTCTAGTTTGACATTTTTCTTGGGTTTTTGTGCATTTGCAAGCGAAACTGTTTTGCTGAATGTGGCATTTGTGGTGTTAGCTGCCAAAAGGCTATGTTGTGATGAATGAAGTTGTGGTGTGTTGATGTTGCTGCTGGTTTGAGAGGAGGCTCATTTGGATGCTGCTAGTTGCCTTGTATGTAGACATTATATAGTGTGTGTTGCATGCATGGTGCATGTGCTGTTGAAACCATAGAGACTGCTGACTAAACTCCATCCCTGGCAGTGTGTGTGGTCTCCTCACCTCATATGCTAGGTCTTCCTCTCCCCACACACACACATTTCCAGTCTCGGCCCACTCTCTATCACCCACACCTTCCTTCTCACCAGAACCTCTTTGTTTCTGCAAAACAGTTGGGGAAACTTGTTTCTCTCCCTCTCCTCCCTACTCCCCTTTTCAATGCAGTATTTCTCAACCAGAAGAAGAGGAGGGGCTTCCCCTATGGTGGACTATTGCCCCATATTCCTGGTATAATAAATTCTGACGTCAATTTTTCCCTTTCCCTTTCATGATGTGTATGCATTCAGTACGACTTTGCCAGTTACCAGCCAACTGGTAGAAGCTGTCTGACTCCTCCCAGTACCTTACGTGAGTCATGTGACTATCATGTGACTGTCATGTGATCCCCTGTGATGTAATACACAGCGACACTGCCAGTACCGGAGGTGTATGAACCGGAGTCGCGATGTTTCGAGCACCAGTGGGAGGGCAGGGCCAGGGAGGGTGTGGTGGGCGGGGCCAGCTGCCACACATTCTCATGTACCAGAGACAGTGTCGTGGTAGATGTCGGAGGGTCAAAGGTCGATTGCAGTCACGGTCTAGCTGGAGAACATGTGAGTGCTACATACCTTTAATTCAAGTTTCAATATTGGTGGATGTGAACAAAATTGAAACTGCCTGTTGCATTTTTTGACATCAAGAAAGTTAGGATTAGTGTCGACATTCTATTGTGAAACTGTGTCATTACTCACTCACTCCACACCCATGCAGGTTGCAGTTGAGTTCACTCGTAACAGCACTGGGAACAATACCTCAGTCCACATTGTCTGTCCTTCTTACCAAGACCTGTGCGAGGTGAGACACCGCACAGCCGTGAACTGACTAATGTTTGTTTTCATTCGTTGCATGCACGAGGCTGTTTTTCTCCCACAGAACTACAACTGTCCTCGACTCTGCTCCGGCCACGGGAACTGCATCAAAGGCCACTGTCGCTGCCAACCCGGTTACTATGGCAATGACTGCAGGTGGGTGGAGCCAATTATCTAAACCCCACCCCCCTAACTCCACAAACCACATCTCTCCAGCTATTCCTACTTGGATCGTTTGCTCACGTGTGACTCGGTGCTCTGCCAGAATGGAGGTAGCTGCACTGACAGTGGTGGCAGTGGAAGTGGAGGAGGTGTGTTCAGTGGAGATGACAGTGGAGGAGGTGGGCTTGGATTCAGCTGCCAGTGTTCAGTTGGCTATACTGGGATGATGTGCGAGAACCGTGTGACCTCTGATCCCTGCCTTGACCTCTCCTGCCCTGCCAACACCCACTGCGTTCGCTCAGACCTGGGGACTGTAAGTGTTACATAACTGTGCTATATATAGTACGTACATAACCACATGATTTGCAGGTGGGACAGTGTGAATGTAAGGCTGACTATGGAGGAGAGGATTGCAAAACATTCCTGTTGTGTGAACGGAGGGGAGCGACCCTGTCGTAATGGCCGTTGTCGCAGGGGGCGAGATGGAGAGCCAAAGTGCATGTGTGACAAGGGGTTCCGGGGACCTCAGTGTGACCTAACGAAGAGACCTGATGGTCAGTATAATATTAGAGTATACCGGCGAGTGAGAGATGAGGGGAAGGACGAAAGCTGGGAGCGAGATGGGAGGGGAAGGACGAAAGCTGGGAGCGAGATGGGAGGGGAAGGACGAAATTAACCTTAGCTGAGCCCTTTCTGTCTGCAGACCCCTGTCTCTCCTCCCCCTGTCTTAACGGCGGGACTTGCTCCACTACAAGGGAAGAAGGGAGACACAAACTCTCCTACAAGTGCAGCTGTCTGCCGGGGTTCAAAGGTCATCACTGTGGCAATAAAAAGAACCCGTGTCTGGACCCTAACCCTTGCCACAACGGGGAAGAGTGTCGCCAGACGATGCGAGGAGACCCAATGTTCTGGTTCCTCTTCACCTGTTACTGACGTGTCCCCTGTCATTGGGGAACTTTTTGAAATTGAACGCTGTGACCTTTGACCTCAACCATATCTTCCCAATAACCATCCACATTATACAACCACATTTTTTAATCATCAGTATCTCATCGCCATCATTGTTATCCATTTTGCAGTAAAATTATTTGCATGATTTTGTTTGTGAACATTGATTTGGGTTCTAGTTGCCATAGTGATGGACTGGTTGCCGTGATACAGGCTCCTCCCAGGCACTCCTCTCCACTGTAGAACACTGCGTACTATATATATACAAAAGAGGAGATATGTAGTTGTGAAGTCTAGATTGCGACCGTACCTGGCCAGGGGCCACTGCACGAAGAGGGTTGCTGCACGTCACTTGCAAACCTTCCTTGTCTTCAACTAACTCCACATCAACTGCTTTGAACAAATAGGTAGGACACTCCAAATAAAGCACACCATTCTATATTATGCCACTAATGTGCTATGTATTAGAGTACGGTCTCATTAAGCAGCTGGTTACCGAGGGGTGCCTGGTGACGATGTCGTAATCTACACCGAAATGGGAGGGAACCCCCAGTAACGAGGGGGTTATCAGATATCCAGTGGGGAGGGGAGGTGGTGAAGGAGGAGATGTAGAGACCCGGATGGTGAGTACCTTCCACCTGTATTTACACCATTTCCATAACCAGAACAACCATAAGCCAACGTACGACTGTAACTGTGTTTTCCGCGGCATCTTTCCCGGCCACGAAGAGAGGTTGAGACTGTCCACCGATGCGAGCTCGTTGTCCAACTGTGAACAGATGGTGACCTGCACAGAATAATGTCATCTCTCTATACTCCCTGTGGTAATCCACCAGAAAGTGCCGCAGGATAGAGAACCCGTATAGTGTTAGTATGTATGTTCTTTGTAGAGAGGTGTCCCTTATTCGAAGAGTCCTTTTGAGGTTTGAAAGGGCTTTAGAAATATTACTTATTGTGAGAGAGAGAGAGACATGCACTGTATAATACCTCTGTGCCAGCCGAGTTGCCGCCCTTCAAGAGTAACAAATCTACCATGTCGTTCTTCTATGTACTGCAGCAGTATGAGGGCGGGGGAGAGGAGGTGGAGAGATGGAGAGAGGAGATGGAGAGAGGAGAGAAGAGATATGGAGATGGAGACGGAGAGAGGAGATGGAGAGAGGAGATGGAGAGGAAGAAATTCTATCTGTCTTGTGATAGAGCTCACTTCACTGATAAACTGGGGAAAGTCTCTCTTTCCAATGAAGCAAAGTCCCACGCTCTGCCAGGAATAACAAACACAAACAAAACAAACATAATAATACACAATCATAAAACAACAACAGGAGACAATCATACCTCTTTCCGTCTGGCCACGTGGGTAAACCCAGCCTGGGAGGCGATCTCTCTCACCTCTTCTTTCCTCAGTCCACCCACTGGGAACACACTCCTGGCCAGAGACACCTGTCATCATCAGCACACACAAATAATATAGACATTTCCCAACTTCAACTTCTAAACAAATAGGTGGTAGACATCAAATTTTACTTCAAACTGGACTAAAATATTGGGGGGTATGGGTATATATACTTGGGGCACTTGCGAAAGGAAATAGGTCTGGTCTTTGCAGCTGTCTGTCGCCACCTTTAGCCTCGCTTCTGCAGCACAAACACACACACACACAACACACGAATAAAGCGAAGGAGAAAAGGAAGGAGAGGGAGGGAGGACGAGGGGGAAAACGGGGTATGAAAACTTACTCCCTGCTTCATCTCTTTCCACTCTGGCATAGTGACCGGTTGCTATGACGTCGGCATCCAAATGCTGACAACAGTAGCGATGTAATGCACTGAACTTGATGTGTCTGTTGCACAGTATATCCGGATTGGGGGTGTGGCCTTGCTCGTAGGCCTGTACGAAATGACTGCAAGAATCAGAATACAGACATTTTGGTTCCCGTTTTCATTGGTCTTTATCACAGATTTTTTCTTGTACCTGAATACGTCATTCCAGTAATCCTTGACGAAATCGGCGAGAGCGCAGGGAATGTTCAGAGCCGCACAGATGTCCCTGACGCGAGAGTAGTCGGCCTCTGCCGTGCAGCGCTGCCCGCGTCCCTCGTCCCTCTCCTCCCAGTTCCTCATAAACACGCCCACAAGCGACGCTCCTTCACGAATTAGGCCCGACTGAACACGAGACGAGATTGAATGATCAGACCAACCGCTTCTCTTCAGGAGAATGGCCGCTACCAGTGAGTCCACGCCGCCAGACAGAGCAATCGCCACTCGCTTCATCTCTTCTCGATCCTACCTGGGCTACACGCGTTCTGGCGCATGCGCAATAGATACATTTAGCAAGGGTGGGTCTCTCTCAGCTCCCCCCCCCCCGTCTAGGAGGTATATAGCGACTTGCACTGCAGCTAGAGGCCATGTCGTCGCAAGCGCAGTGGAAGCTGTACTACTGGTACACCCCGGACTCGGTGCTGGGCGTCTTCCCGGGCCGCGGGGAGTACGTACGCCTGATGTTCGAGGAAGCCGGGGTCGCGTACGAGGACGTCTGCAAGAAAAACAACAGCAATGCCGACCTCCTCGCCTTTATGAAGGGCGAGAAACCCGGTTTCCCTGTCCTTGCACCTCCCATCATCCAGCAGGGGGACTTCGTAATGAGTCAGACCCCTGCAATCATGATGTACCTGGGAAAGATTGGTCTCTTCCCTACGGGCGGCCCCGAGGAAGAGGCGCACGCCGCTCAACTACTGCTGACTATCCACGACTACCACTTTGAAGGGAACATGTCCTGCCACCCCGTTGACCTCCATGCCTCCTACAGCACGCAGGTAGAGGAGGCTAAGGTGACGCAGAAAAAATTCTGCGAGGAGAGAATGGGAAAGTTAGTATAATTATACGCATCTCTCGCTTTTTCTTTTGTCACTGAGTGTGTCTGTGTGACTGCAGGTTTCTCAAAATGTTTGAGAGAACTCTGAGTCAGAACAATGGCGGCCAGGGATTTCTGATCAGCTCTAAGGTATGCAGGGAATTCTGAATGAGTGTGGTTCATCTTTGACTATAATATTATAATCAATTGTGGGTGTGGCTGGAGTGAACCAAGAAAGGATTACGCTGGGGCCGTACATTATAGCACTGGATCGAAACGAGTTTCCCTTATGGCGATATTTCTGTTATTCAGAGTACCAATTCTAAGACGTTTCAGAATGAGCTAGCTACTGCACCTTTTCTTGTTGTTGATCTTGTAGTTTAGCTACATGTATATACGTTTTTTTTCCCTTCTTTAAAAAAAAAAAATAAATATAAATATAAATAAAAATCTTTATAGCTACTGCAAAATAATTCCGTTTCTACCTCTTGATGTGTTGGCAGGTTACATACGTGGACGTTGCTATGTTGACTGTGCTGCTGGCGACAGAGAAACAGTTCCCAGAGGCCTGGGCAGCTCAGGACGTGCCTCTACTGAAGGCATTCAAGAAGAGGATGGAGCAACGCACTAACATCGCAGCCTATCACTCATCCAACCGATACATCCCCTTCTCTGGCTACTCTATGATGTGACAATAATGACTATAAAAAGCCCATACTGTAATAGGGAGTGCACATTTTTATAAAGTTACATCGATAAAATCACACAGCTTTTTTACAGAATTGTCGGGAATATGTAGTTTTGTCGGGAAAATGAAGAGAATTGAGGAAGAGTTGCGTTTACTGTTCATTTCTTTTGACGTGCAGAGGCACAAATGATTTGATTTCATAAAACACTAGTTCTGAGAGAGAGTACAAGAACTAATACTATTGATAGCCATTGGAGTTTTCAACTCACTTCTCCATCCCTCCACATCCACTTCCATGTTTTCAAAAGAGTCATCGTATTGACGATCACACTCGGGCTGTGTGGAAAAGAGAGATAGGTTCCAGAAGGAAGGGAGGAGAAGAGAGAATGAGACAAGAGATGAAGAGTATATAGAAGACAGTGAGATGAGGTAGAGAGAGAGAGAAGAGAGAGACCTCATCCTCGGGGTCATGATATTTGGCGAGGTAGGGATGGTCCAGGGCCTCAGCTGCAGTGGGTCTCTTGTCAGGGTCCATGTCCAGCAGCCTCAGAAGAAGATCTACTGCATTTGGATCAGCTCCTACAAAGAACCGCTCAAAAGCCTCGAAATCTTTCTTGGGGTAGCTAGGCAGAGAGGACAGATAGTCCCGGGCCTGTAGAGACGATAAAACAAGTCACACCGATTGCTTTTTTCCGTTTTTCTGCCTTACAGAAGTGTTGGTAATTCCCTGCATGTAGGCGTCATCTGGTGTTCCAACAAACTCAACTATTCTCTTGATATGCTCACTGTCTGTATATATATACACGGATTAAGCAAAATGCAAGTCCTCTATCTGGATACTGTTTCACTGTTTCTGGCTAAAGCACTGGCTTCCTTTGTAGCGATATAGGGTGGAGGTTATGGCGTGAAGCTAGTGAGAGAGTGTGTGATGTATTATAGGATGGAGGATACAGTCGGAACCAGGGAAGAGAATTTGTCCCGTCAACATTTCAGCCATCACACAACCCACTGACCACATGTCCACTGTTGGGGAAGAAGAATAAGAAGAAGCCTAGACATGTCTTAAATCTTGAGGAAGTCCAGTCTTTATGTTGCCAGGTTTATATTACATGTCCATACCCATTCATTTATATACCAGGTATACAGTATACGTAAATCATACATTAGAAAAGAGAGACCTTTCTGGGTATACTGCATCCAATTCAACATTATTTCGGGAGCTCTGCAGTGGCGAGTTGTTACGTAACCAGTCATAATCTCTGCCTTGGCTCTGGCTAGTCCGAAGTCCAACAGCTTTATCTCATTGTCTGCACTCACTCCTATATTACTGGGCTTTATATCCTGCAGACAAGATCGTATCAGTGAGGTTTTCGCATGTTAATCACTATTATAGAAAAATCAAAACTGGAAAACAAACTTACCCTGTGAATGACCCCTGATGAGTGAACATACTACAAGGGCGGAGAATGTAGCTAATAACTCAGTGATTAGGGTGTTGGTGCTTGGTGTACCTTCAGACCTCTCAGAACCTGGTACATTTGAAACCGGACTTGATCGTTGGTCAGCTTCTGGCTCTTGAGAGTCTTGTACAGATCTGAACTCATCAGCTCCATCACCAGATAGCTGGACAAGAGGGAGAGGTGGGGAGTGGTGAAACTCTCACCAATGGGACAGGAGTAAGTGTCCATATTGGTGAGGTGTCCTTGTTACAGGGGTTGACTTTGGAGAAAGAAAATGTGTCCTTATTTCATGAGTGTCCTTCTTGGCGAGGTTCTACTAACTGTATATTTTGAGAAACACAACTGTCTAAACTCACACATCATTGAAATCGGGGTATTCTTCAGTGGGCGTGAATACGTCGTATAGACTTACTACCTACAGAGAGAGAGAGATGATACGTAAGTCCTAAAATTGTATATAGGAAATCGGAAGCATTAGTCACTAACGTTTTCATGCTTCATATGCGTTAGGAGTTTGATTTCTCTGTAGCAGCGTTTCGCGTGGACGACGCCCTGGAAAGGAGAGGCCAACTTCTTTATAGCGACCGCCCTCTCTTCCTTCGTGTCCGTGGCAGAACTGGGTCGTAAGAAAAGAATTTTCACCGGTCCTCGCGGCTGGTGTCTTACCAGACGGTGCCGAATGTGCCGATGCCTAGCGGCTGGAGGTCTTGGTATCTTTGAGGCACGACCCACTCACCCCCGCCCGAATCCGTCTCGTAGAAACCGTCCTTTGGGCGCGGAGTAGTACCTTTACCATCCATCTTTCCTCGCTCGCGATTGAGCAGCGCGCGCGCACCAAATCTGAGCCCCGCCCTTTTTACAACGAGCCACGCCTCTTTTAATTAGACCACGCCCGCCTTATGACGGGAGAGCGAAAACGGGAAAAGATGGCGGCCCAACAAGACGTTGAAATGCAGGAAGCTGCTAACACCAAGGAAGGGTTCTACCGCGTGGAGCTGGCCAAGACGGCATGGGAGGTTCCGAGCCGCTACCAAGACCTCAGCCCAATCGGCACGGGCGCCTACGGAACCGTCTGGTACGAGATATACAGTGGAATTCATCTCAAACGACGTAGGCGGTGCCCCCTGATGAAATGAGGACACCCTCGGCACCTTTTTCCTCAAACAAAGTTCTTGCATTCAGTTTAACCCCTGAAACATGGACACCTCACTAATATGGAGACTGCCATGATTTCACTGTGTATCTAGTAAAATGAACTCTGTTTTTCTCTCCTTCAGTGCAGCATACGACACGGAGAAGAGCGTGAAGGTGGCCGTGAAGAAGCTGGTTCGTCCGTTCCAGACGGTGATCCACGCCAAACGGACTTACAGGGAGTTGAAGTATCTGCAACATATGAAACACGAGAATGTGAGCTGAAATAGTTGTCATTCCTACGCCCCCCACCTACCCCTCCCTTCCTTGTCTGGTTTTGATCGTGTCACATTACCGAGGATTTATATTAAGTCCCAAAGGTCAGGAGACCTAACTAACTAACCCTTCCTTTCGCATGCATGGCCACTACATGATGCTATGAGAAAATGCTTGCCAGAAAACAGTGTTGTGGGTTTGAATCCCACCGAGAACAGCTCTTCTTTTTTTCCTTGAAAAGGGAGTTGTCCTGAGTGCAGTTGACTTGTCTGCGTTGCTACCTTGTTGTTGTCACAATCTAGTGTGTAGCTTTTCATTAGTCGGTGTGACTTGAAAACAATTTGCTACTCTTCTGCTCTTTCTCTCCGTCCCTCTCCTCTCTGACAGGTTGTGGGCCTTCTGGATGTCTTCACTCCAGCCACGTCTCAGGACAATTTCCAGGAGCTGTACCTAGTCACCCACCTCATGGGTGCCGACCTGAACAACATCATACGCCAACAGGCGCTCACTGACGACCATGTTCAATTTCTCATCTACCAGATCCTCAGGGGCCTCAAGGTACATGCTCTGGACTTGTTTGTTTGTCTGTTTGTTTGTTTGTCTGTTGTTGGTATGCATCAGAGCTCTGGTTTTAGGGTTGTATCGTGTCCTCTTTCAATTTTGTTGGCAATAGTTCAGTATTTATGGGGTTCCAATTTTTGTGTATAATTTTCGCTCTCTCCCTCCTTTTTCAGTACGTCCATTCAGCTGGCATCGTCCATAGGGTAAGTCAAATTCTCATTGTAGAGAGACAATTTCGCCAAAAACCTCGTGTGATTTTGTTGTAGTACATCTCAATGCCACACCTCTTCCACAGGACTTGAAACCAAGCAATGTAGCAGTGAACGAAGATTGTGAGCTGAGAGTAAGAAATATGCACTAGTGGTAGATAAAGGGAGGAAAATTGTGACTGTATCTTTTTCACTCCTTGCAGATTCTTGATTTCGGGTTGGCCAGAGCAACGGACAACGAAATGACAGGCTACGTTGCCACGCGCTACTGGAGAGCACCCGAGATCATGCTAAATTGGATGCACTACAACAATCAAGGTATTTTTAACTGTCCCATTTCCCGATGGGACATCCTGAATTGTATCCGGGGCACCCTCTGTTCTAGTTGACATCTGGTCGGTTGGCTGCATCATGGCAGAACTGCTGACGGGGCAGGTTCTGTTTCCCGGCAACGACCACATTGACCAGTTGAACAGGATTCTGCGGGTGTGCGGAACACCCGACAGAGAGTTTCTGAAGAAGATCACCAGTGACACGGTTGGTTCACCACCTTACTCCTGGTAATCATCTTTGTTCTGGGTGTGTTGGTAGTGTTTCGAACTTTAGCACAAGCAGGATAAGTAACCTATATTTGCTGCATGACGTCACTTGTCCATGCCTCATTCTTTGGTCCCTCCTCTCCCTCCCCATCGCAGGCGGTGACCTACATCCAGTCGATGCAGACATACCCCAGGAAGGACTTTACAGAGTTCTTTCAAGGAGCCAACCCACTGGCAGTGGATGTGCTGGACAAGATGCTCGCCATCGACCCAGACAAGAGGATCACTGCCGCAGAAGCCCTCTCCCACCCCTACTTCGCCACCTACGCCGACCCCGATGATGAGGTGGGTGTGGCTTGTTTTATGGGGGTGTGGTCTGTTTAATTGGTGGGTGTGGCTTGTTTCACCTGCTGCAGCCTGAGTCTGAATCTTATGATGATGCATTTGAGGGGCTGAATCTGACAGCAGAAGAATGGAGAAGTGAGTCAAACGCACTGTTATTCCAGAACTACAGGTGCACTATATAGCGGAGGCCGCCTTGTTGACTATATTGGACAATGTTCTTGTTTGTATATTATATGTAAACAGCATGATCATAGATTGCGGTATTGGTATGCAAGAAGAGTCTTGTACGGTGCAGCAAATTCCTTCCCTTGTCGAGCTGAACAGATGCTGTTTCCCCAAACCCACAAAACTTATGTAGCTACCATTTTTACTCTCCCTCTCTCTCTCTCTCTCTTCGCAATAGAGAAAGTGTATCAGACGATAGAGACCTTTGTCCCTGACCCCTCCCTCTACACCCAGGGCCAATGAACTACAGCTATAATTATACTGTATTATACACTCTGAACACATTTTTACTGTTTAGTTATCGTTCTGTTTGCACCTTTTCTTGTGTATGTGATGAATACATGATCCAAATTTCCAACAATTATCTTTATCATTACAACTTTCCAGAATTACATATTGGGTCACAGCTGTGATATTTATTAGTGGGTGTGGCAGTGGGCGGGGCTAGTGGTGTGGAAGAGGTGGTGGAGGAAGTGGAAGGTGTCACCGTGTGAGGTGAGCGAGGAGGGGAGGGAGGGAGGAGGGAGAAGAGAGAGGACAGCAGACAGCAGGTGTTGCTCCAAATGAGGCAGCTCTTCTTCCTGGTTGGGAAGGGAGGGAGGGAGGGAGGGGAGAATGAAGAAAGAAGAGAGAAGGAAGAGTAAGGAAAGAGAGTGTCATGTCAAAATGTCAACAAAAACACACCTCATTGGCGACCCTGCCCAGAGCTTTAGACAGTTCCTTCACTCCATCAGCCAGCTTTTCCTGAAGTGGTTTTACAATTTTGTGGTGAGATCATGTCGAGCTATTGTGTTTGGTCTGTTTTTTAACACTTTTACCTTCATGCTGGCCTGGACTTGCTGGTTCTTTTCAACCTGCTTCCTCTGACGGGACGGCGATCGGGAAATGGGACGTCCAGCTAACCGATTGTCCAAGAGGCCTTGTGCAGCTCCGGACAGCTGTCTCCATGTGTGTCTCAACTGGTCCAGGTCACCTGATCTGACGCTCACAGCAAACACCTCGACTGCTGGTGTAACTGGTGGACCTGACTGAGGTGGGGGCTTCACTGCCTTCCTATTGAAGCCAAACAGACCCAGGATGATGTCATCCTTTTGGTCACGTGATCCGCTTGTGACATCATCGAGGTCGTGTGATTTGGACGTGACTTCATCCAGGACAGCTGTTTCGGCTCTGTCAGCTGAATCGGTTGCATATTTTTCTCCTGAATCGTTTCTTGACTTGTTCAGAAGAAGACCGGCTCGTCTATCAGAAGAGATGTGGAGTGCAAGATGAGAATTTGGTTGAGGTCTGTGCCACACGACAGTCATTTCTCCCTCGCTGGCTCCCAGGTGTTGGTGGAGCTGTGGTTTGGCACTCGGTGGAGGTGCGGTGGGGAGGAGTGAGGGAGGGAGTGAGGGGAGGGAGCAGGAGGAGGAGAATACCGGGAGACGGTACTGCAGAAACGACGCCACGGCCTGGTACTGGGAGTGGAGTGAAGGGGTGAGGGTGTGAATGTTGGGTAGCTGGGAGTTGGGTGAGGGGGTGAGGGTTTGAGGCCAGAAGCAGCGAGTGAGGAGGGAGTAGGCGTATGAGACCATCTGAAACCAGGTAATCTTAGTAGCCGGGACCGGCTGAGCTCTGGGGAGCAGTAGTTCAGCTGGCGGCGCCTCAGATGAAGAGAGAAGGCAAGAGAGAGTGGAGTCCTCTCCTCCATGACAGAGTTCCGTGAGGGCAAACTCCGGTAGATCACCGAGAGCCTTGTCCGAGAGTGGCTTGGACAGTTCGGGGTGGTGCAGCTGTGAGGTAAGACCCTGGAGGCATTCCTTGGCCTGGAGAGATCGCCGGGCTGTCTTGACGGCACACCATGCATTGTATGTCTCTTTCCTGGTCAGGTCTGGTAGAGATCTGACTCTCCTTGTCTCTGTCCCCTCCCTGGTGGATCGAGACGGACTCGTCTTCTTTGCAAGGCCGGAGACACTGCGAGAGATCTTGGGTTTGATTGTGGGCGGGGCCTCGGTGGGTGGGGCCTCCTGCTGGGGTATGGCTTCACAGAGAAGCCATGCAACCTCGAAACAGCTGATAAATAACTTTCTGTGGGGGGATGCAAATTAAGATTCGGTATATTTCACGTGTTGCCACTATACCATTTTCCCCCTCTATTATATTGCATGACATACGTACCTGTAGTCAACTTTGTTATCGGAGAAGCTGGTGATGGCTAGCAGGAGTTCCTTGGTGAGCTGGGCTCTCTCTGTGGCAGGATCTCTCCAGATCAGGGACACTGTGAGAGAGAGAGAAAATTCACAGTCATTGCCTGTTCTAAGATACCATTGCTAAGTTGTTTGCAGAAGAGATGTTTTTTTTGCGTGCGGTGCGCCTTGCCTGCACCTGTTTTTTTTGCAATTTCAAAAAAACCTCTGCTATCAATTAGGGTTTTGAAGGACGAAGATTCAGAGCACTGCATCACAAAATAAGCCCCTGACCTTTCTGGGAGATGAGGCTTGATTTGAGGCAGAGGTCAGGGTGCAGCACACTCCTCTCCAGAAGATCCAGTCCTTCCTGACACATAGAGAGAGGGTCATCTTTACCAGCTGCCGGTCCATCTTTGGTTCCCACTTTGGCAGTTGGTGGTCCATCTTTGGCAGCTGGTGGTCCATCTTTGGCAGTTGGTGGTCTGTCTTTGCCAGCTGGTGGTCCATCATTGTCGGTGAAATGACTGGTAAAGAGTGAAAGTCTCAGGAGGGCGGAAGAGAGGAGAGGGAGGAGAGGGTGGTAGGCAGAGCAAGAAACCGGGCCTTCAATCTGTGTGTCAAAGGAAACAGTGAGAACTCTCTCTCTAATGAGGAGAGAAACAAGTAGCTGGGACACACTTCTGCCTGTAAAAACACAACTACATAGCCATGCAGAATCAGGGAGAGTTCAGAAATAACGTCAAAACTATTCAAACCTGTTTTCTGAGTTTCTTGACAAGTCTTTGGTAGACGAGTGTGGCATCATGTGATGTCACATGACTGCCGTGGCAACCAGCGTCGCAGAGGAGCAGCGTGGAGCGAGCGTGGAGGAGGAAGAAGGGAGGGGAGAGGAAGGGGAGTGAGGCAAGTGTCTGGAGACAGCTCTGCGAGTGTCTCATGATCGCCGCGACGTTCGGTGGAGAGAGGGAAAGAGAGTGAAGAGCTGCAGTAAAATGAAACTGAGCACACAGCTCCATGTCACCAAACTCTTCAGCCTCTTTCACGCCCTCTTGACACTGAGCCGTACAATCCAACATTGCTTCGCCGTTTATTTCTCTCTTGCCGACTAGACTAGCTGTCAGGCTGAGCCTAGCCTCCAGCCACAGTCTGCGGGCCACTGAATGACACGAGATGGACAATGATGAAGATTGTAACACTCGAAGTGTGGCTAGACTCAGTTTGGTGGCTGTGGGGCTATTATGACGGGAGAGAGCTAATTTAGAGAGGGCGAGGTAGCCGCGGGCTCTTAGTTCAGAGGCGGATGACAGAGAGGAGAGAGAGAGGAAAGAATTGTGGAGTGTTCTCTCGGCATTTTCTAGAAGTAGGGAGCTGATGAGTTGTGTGTGACGCTCGGACGTTGAGTGACTGCCTGGTTTGGTAGACGAGGGAGGAGGGAGAACAGAGGGGGAAGGGACAGGTGTCGTTGCAGACGGAGAAGGAGAAGGAGAGGGTTGGGTAGCACCAGTGCTGAACCCTCTAGTGAGGACGGAGGCGGGAGGAAGGGTAGGGGAGGTGGAAGCCAGAGCAATGTAGAGTTCGGCACGGGCGAGAGAGAAACGGACGAGAGCCTCTCTTCCGCAGCAACTAGCCACTGATGTGGGGAGCTCCCTGTTCATTAGCAGCTTCAAGGCCTGTGTTGAAAAATGTATCACAGAGACCCCTAACAAAACAGCACATTGTGTAAATTCTTTCTCAATGAAATTACTAAAGCATTTGTGTAAACAGTAAACAACAAGATTGCAACGCAAGGCAAAGCAAACAGCACAAGAACACTGTGTACCAATCCCAAAAATAGCGCGCAAAATTAGTTGTTATCAGTGTCAAGATGCAAACCTTGACATTGGAGGTGTGTGTGAGGGGCAGACTGTCACTGAAGCCAGCAGCAGCTGCAGTGATGTCAGAGGAATCAGAGGGAATATCACAGTCACAGGAGACCTGGGGGACCCCGCGGCCCCCCAGGACCTCCCCCAGGAGACTCAGAGCCTCTGGGAACATGTGGAGGTGAGTGAGGGCCTGCAGTCTGAGGCTCTGGCAGAGGAGTGTGTGAGGTGGAGACCTGCAGTGGCCGTGAGCCGTCTGCCAATACAGCCACAGAACTGGGAGAGCCTGAGGACAGGGAAATGAGGGAGAGACCAATATTAGGTGATGGAGAGAGAAAGACGAGTAAATCTTTAGACACAGTTCATTATGCTGTGACTCAAGGTCAAAGGAAGGAAAAATGAGCCTCAGCCCAGACCTTCAGAGGGTATTTCCTCTCCACCAGTTCTCGTGAGCAGTAGGCAAGTGAGTCCAGAGAGGTCATGGGGTCACAGAGGAGTGGGTCGTCAAACAGGTTTATCCCGACTGGTAGGTTGGTGGCCGAGACTGACGAGGAGGAGGGACGGAGGAACGAGGAGGGGAGAGAGAGGTGAGGGAGGGAAGAGACTGGGATACTCTGGGAAAGAAGAGAGCAGTGTGTGTCAGATTCTGGAGTGGTGAATGGTGAATGTGCTTACTCTGAAGAGAGATGCAGCAGTCAGGAGATACTGCAGAGAGACTCTGGCTTTGTTGGCATGGACATACCTGTCAGTGTGTGTGAGGATAAGAGGTATGCACAGACACAGAACAGTAAGTATAATACACATTTTGCTGGAAATATTGTTGTTGCAGTGTGCGAGCTCAACTGTGTGTAATTACCTGGCGATCTTGACAGCCAAAACGGCGGCTAGCATTGTTCCAGTTGTTCCACATTTCTGAATATCTTTCCCTCCTCCCCCTCTTCCCTCATCTCTCTTCCACCATGTCCTGGGTTCTTCGCCGTCACTGCAGTGCAGCAGTTGACGCAGGCCTTTCTCCCACTGGACACCAGCTTCTCTGAGTGAAGGGAAGACAACAGCTGGAGTTTCTGTGGTGTAGCGGTTATCACGTGTGCCTCACACGCACAAGGTCCCCGGTTCGATCCCGGGCAGAAACATCATTTTTTCGATAAGTTATCAAAAAAATCACAGCTTTGTACGTACTTTCTTGTTTTATGCAGATTATTTTTAAACACCTTTAGTGTGCGGTACTCCATGAACTTAGTTAATGATAATTTGTGAACCCACTTTCTGTTGTTGCTGTGTAAGTGTAGTGAGCTCAGGTCGTGTAGAAGGGAGGCAGTCGGCACTACCACTGTCCCCTGGTGTTGACCGCTGTCTTCTCCACCGGTGATGATGGCCTCCAGTTGAGACACAGCCTCAGTGTAGTGGGTAATTAGTAGGGGCAGCTGGTGGGTGGGGGGAGCCGCAGCTTCCTCAAGACCTGCAACCAGTGAAAAAATGGCAATTTAATTTTGTGGGTGCATGTAGTGTTGAGGAGTCTCAGTGAAAAAACAGCCAACAAAAAACACTGATTGAAACTACGTATAAGAAGAGGAGACGTGGTAATTACTGCCAATTGCCAACTGCAAAAGTTTTTGTGGGTACAAAACTACAGTTGAAACCTCAGAACATTAGGACCAGGCATTTAGTTATATCAGAGGTTTTCTGTACCATCTACTCACCACCACTGGTTGACCCAGAGAGGTATTGGGCCAGTAGAACCTTACACGTCTTCACAATCTCCACTCCTGCTCCACGGCCAGGGGGCGAGTCTGTAGTCTGTAGTCTGTCCAACACTGTCTGTGGCTGGAGGGGGACACACACCCTCGCCAGAGCGTGCCCCGTCTTGCCGTATATGTCGTGACCTTCTGACCCCGGGTCAAAATGAGCTGCTGGCTCAATAGCTATAGAGAGAAAAACAAAATGTTTACCAGTTTTCTTGTGCCCAGATGAATTGCACCATTTTTAATGTGTTTCTACATATCAACTCTGTGCATCCATGCACAAACATCAATAGACCTGTTCAAAGTTAGACTTGCTTGCATTCACTCGCCAGACAATGTGGTTGCTAGTACCTTCATTTTGAAACTCTTCACATTTCGTTTGAAATGATAGGGCTGTACTCTGATGGTGTTGGGTTGCTCACCTTTCCTCTGTAGGTCAGAAGAATGCTCCGTTACCCGCCTCGCCAGCCGGGCCTGCCCCTCCAGAATGATGGGCAGCATTTCCCCCACCCACTCCCTCCCCACCCTCACACCCTCACACAGTCTCAGTCCCGCGGCCACCAGCCCCTCCCAGTGCTCCTGGGCCAGCATGGTGTGCAGGGAGAGGAGAGAGAACCGTCGCAGGAACAGGAAGTCTGGTTCCAGCGCCGTGTCCTGTCTAATTGGCAGGGGCATCCCGTAAGCAGTGACCAGATCTGTAACTGCCTCTAGAGCCATGTACAGTGGTTTGCTGGCTAGACCGTAGACTGCTGCCACTGATATATCACCATCTTCTGTGGGGAAATTTGGAAAGTCAGTACTCAATGGGCATGGCACCAGCCTTGTGCTTGACAAGTACATCAAAATACTGAGGCACTACGCAGCATAGGTTGTGTATATATATAGTCAGTGGGATTGCCAAACTACAGCCAGTACCTCTTGTGTTACGTATATTATTCTGCAACATCACGAGGCAAAGCTAAGGACTCTTCGATGGAAAAAGAGTTGCCCTGGCAGTTATTCGAACCCACGACACCTCTGGATTCAAAGGAGAAAGATGTACACTCACCTCTGTTGGCACGAGGTGTATTGGTCCTCTCTCCTGACGTCAGGTAGGATACGAGACAGTGAATAGTATTCCACAGACAGCGACAGGAGTTCTGCAGGACCAGCCACTGTCTCCCTCTCCCAGCCAGTACCACTGCTCTCTGCATACACCTCATCAGTTCCCTCAGTACCTCCAGGGGGCAGCGAGGGAGGCCGGGGCTGGGGGGTCGCGTGAATTTCTCCCCAGTTAGGGGGTCTGGTTTCGTTCCCCCGAGAGTCACAGAGTACCCCGGGGTAACTGGGGGGTAGGTGGGTATGTCCCCTTCCATTATCAGTCCTGCTCTCAGAGAATGGGAAACGGTCTGCACCCCCCTCCCCTCCACCTCCTCCTCTTCCTCCTCGTCTTCTGCTCTGAACTTCTTCAGTAGCTGGTTGAGAAGGCACTGGGCGAGGAGTAGGTTGGCCTGAGCTCTCCAGACCACCTCGTCACTACATACCTCACGTACCCTCTTCCTACGGGCCGAGAAACGAGATAAATGGAGGAGAAAAGGAGAAGATGATGTGTGTACCGGCACTTGTGGTTCCTCCATAAGTCAGGCAGTAGACCCTGCAGTACGGAGGTGGCCTTCATCATGATGTCTTCTCTGGTAACTGCCACTCCCTCCAGAGCCAGCAGTCGAGTCAACCTCTCATTCAGCAGACTGGCTCGCCCTGCAATGCGTGTGTTTGTGTGTTCGGAAAACTTCAACAGAGTCCCTGCATAGCGGTATTTTGTAAGGAAGGCGATATTTTTTACCTCTCAATTCTACCACTGCAACTATCAACAGGACATATAAAAGTCTTGTACATGCAGTATATAGTACTTCCCAAATGTGCTATGGTATTTGATCATGCAAAAATCCTTGTAGAAATAACCTCTGACCTCTCTTTGATCTTCTCCCCTGTCTGCTAACTGTCTTCCCTCCACCCTGTGTAGCCGGCACTGCTAAAACTCCACCCCCTCCTCCGCTGTGCCTCGTCAGAGCCTTACTGGAGTGGGCGTGGTCTTGGAGGTAGTGGGCGTGGTCTTGGACGGTGGGTGGGGCTTCCCTCGGTGTGAATCTCCCAGAGCTGCGGAGGTGGGTTTGGTGGAGTGTGAGCGACTGGTGGCGCGAGTTGTGTTGGCAGTGGTCTTGCTAGTGGTGGTATTTGTAGTGGGGGGATGGGAGGAGGAGAGGGTGTTCTTTCGCGGCCTGCTGGAGATGACGTGGGGTTTACCAGCCACGTGTACCGGTCTAGTGGTGAGGATAATCTCGTTCCTCCTGCAGCAAAAATCACCGTATAACTTTTCGCGATAACAATATTGAATTTTGCCAAGTAATTTTTCTTGCTACACGCACGTGCAGGCCAAACAAGTCTGGTGGGAAAAAGTTGCTCTTAAAAATGTCGCCAAAGGTTTTAATAGTTAGTTTATGGGCACGCATGTATGGCTGTGTAAAAAAAGAATGAACACACACTGTACTTTGTACATTGACTTGCCTTGCCAGCCAGGTGAAAGTTTCATGGGCCCATTCCGGTACCAGATGGTGGAGTCCCTGTTCCATTCCAGCGCTAGCGAGATGGACAAAGAACTCCAGATACTGCGGCCGTCTTCTGAACTTGTGCACTGCAGAAAGAGGGAGAGGAAGGGAGAGGGAGGGAGGGAGTAAAAAATGTGAAGATCAACAACAACAACAGGAGGGGGAGAGAATATAGAAATGTGAGCGAAGGGGAAAAGGTTGAGAAAAGGTAAAAGTGAAAAAAGAGGCGACAGTGTTTTGTACTGTGTGTACAACTCTCCAATCGCCGCTAGAGTGCGTGCGTTCGGAAGGGGCTCTCTGATTGCAAAGTGCGACATCAATCACGTGTATCAAAGTTCCATCATTTTCTCACCTTCTCTGTGGGCTTGTACAGCGCGGGTGGTGGCAATGATAGAGTGCAGGATGAGAGGGTCCTCTTGTCCTGTGATGTCAGACAGATCCAGGGGAGACTGCCCACCTAACACATCTGGGGGGGGAGCGGGGAGAAATACCACAGCTACATACCAAAAGAAGCACATGAAAACCTCACAGTTTATGGGATTGTGCAACGGTGGAATCACGTACACTCTAGCATCTATCTAGCTTCGTTGTGTACATGTGTCTTCAAGGACACATTTCTCACGCGGTAAATTAGACAAATTTGAAAGGCCCACACTCCATAGTAAGACTAATCTGCACAACCCTAACATATAGATATTTACATACTCACCCAAGTGGATGGCAGTAAAAGCCTCAAAGGCCTTGTACTCTCGACTCTTTGCTCTCGTCGGGGATCTGCTCAGAGGCCTGAGTCGCCTTTCTCTTCCCTCCTCTCTTATTCTTCTTGTCTCCGCCCGTCCCGCGAGGCACCAGGAGTCCCGGAAAGATCCCGGAACTGGCTGTTACGTAGCTGACCAGTGAGGGAGCCTGACTCCCTATTGACTGGTCCAGGCCGATTTCAGGATTGCGCAACTGAGCCGAGGGCATAGTTAGCAAGAGGAGGGCCTTTGCACCAGTCAATAGTTCCTTTAAGAGTTGTGTCTTGTTCCATCTCAGTAGCATCTGCAAGAGAAAGGTGTGCATTTACTACGCTTCTAGTTTGTTGTTTTACTAGTTTGTTGTTGTTTACAACTACTGTCTGTGTTGTTTGTTGTTGTTTACCTTGGCTAGGTGGAATGCGGTGGAGGCACAGTGTGATGTAGAGCAGCCTGTGTTGAGAGTGAGCAGTGAGAGAGCAGGAGTCTCTCTGGCAGCTCATTCAACACACTCTGACACTGGACCAGGATCTGCAGAAGACAGAGAGAAAACCAGAGAGACTATGAAATTCTGTAGAGCTATAAATAATATCTTAGTTGGACACCCACATGCTGTGGAAAAGCAATCCGTGAAAAAATTATCAGATTTGAAAGCATTTTCCTAAATGTCTTCCCCCTTTAAGAATAAAGCTTACGAGGACATTTTTCATGCACGTTCCTGGTGGTGTGTCCTTTACTTAGAGGCTCCACTGTATTATCTACAACAGACCCTGGCAATGTCTAGTGTGGCGATATCTCTCTGAAGCAGAGGAGAGAGGAGTCTGTGGACCATCACCACAGTCTGCAGACAGAGAGAGGGCTCCTGGATGTGCCCGCACACCTCCAGGGCCACCAGCAGGCGGCGGCAGAGGTCCAGGCGATGGAGCTGGGCCTGACAGGGGCGTGGTCTCTTTGTTGTGAGGGCGGTGATGAGGGGAAGAGGGGAGGGGAGGGGAGGTGAGGTGGGTGTGAATGAAGACAGAGTAGACGAAATGGTGGAGGAGTGTGCTTGGGGTGGAGGTGAGGGCAGTTGACTTCAACCTGACGGGAGAAAACAATATCATCTCTCTCTTTCTCTCTTTCTTCATCCGCAGACCTGTATCCAGGTGTAGTGTCGCTCTTCCCGGTCTCCACAAAACGATTCCACAGTGTTCTGGCAGCTTTCAGAGCCACTTCCTCCCCTCCAGCCACAAACGCACACTGAAAAAATTTCAACCATTACATTATCAGTATTCCTACATTTTCAGGCGCAAACTTTGTATGTGAAAAAAACAATCTTCGTGCACTGCATAATCACGTACCTGGCAGAGGTAAGACCATGCAGGTAGTAGGGGCAGAGCGTGACATGACACAATCGGACGCCCAGTTTCCCCGATGCTTCCTCCACTACTGTGACCTGACGTCTGCCCCGTCCTCTGATGGGACAGGCCCGATAACTGTCCCGTTTGTCGACCGAAGAGCTCTCCGTTCTTGCTGTATGCCGCCACAGCAAACACATAGAGGGTGTTAGGTTTGAGGTCTCTGGCCTTCAGCTGGCAGTTGGGTCCAGCAGACACCTAACAATGTGTCAATGGGAAACCAAATTGAGCTGCATTCGTGTTAAAAAAGATACGTATAACTGGACATAAGTAAACAGAGTTCCCTTGCCTATACTACATATATAGAAGTACATAATATAGTTCATTATTATGTGAGTAAACTTTTCAGAATGTGTGTGTTACGACTTTTTCGCAAATAATTGTGTCAATGATACAGTGATTGACAGACCTCTGTGCCCAGACCAGGGAAGGCCTTGTCCGACAGCCGGACCTTCACGTTGCTCCCCTCTGCCACTCTCCCATACAGTCTGTAGTAGGCCACCTGCACACCACACACACACACACACACACGCAGAGCTTGAACACACGGTAAAGTGGGAACTTTGCTGAGCACAAAATGTTCCATTTCGCAGTTTATGTTGACCCTCAAAATCGCCACATTAGTTTAACCCCACAGATTATCAACCCTCGTAATGCGAAGAAGCACACCTGCTGGTTATGAGGTGGATTCCAGGGCGCTGGCATGAAGGTGAGTGAGGTGGGAGTTTGGTGAAGGAGGAGTGGGGGAGGGGGCGAGGGAGAGGAGACAGGGAGAGGCAGGGAACGGGGAAGACCCTGCTCATTATCGAGCTGCTGAAGCGAGGAGAGAGCCTCATTGAGTAGATTGGTTCGTTGTGCAGGGGTCAGTTGAGGAGGAGCTAGAGCAGCTTCCAGCATGGACAAGAGAGCCAGACTGTAGTGATTCTGTCCACAGTGGGTCTTCAGATCAGCCAGAGAGGGGACTGGTGTGCTGGTGGCAGGGAGAGAGGACAGTAGGATGTCTCTCCTCTCTGCCTTCTCCTGCCTCTCTCGCATCTTCCGGTGGAGTGAGGACGGCTTTAGACTGGGTTCTGGAGTGGCTGAGAACAGATCATGCGAACTGCTGAAACGTGGAATATCACCAACGTAACATTTTTACCAAAACGATCTAAAATTATGTACGTTGCACGTCAGTTTGATAGAGCTAAAGCCAAAGTACTGGGTTAGGTCTTACCTGGTGGAGGGATAGTAGCTGCAAGTTTCACCTTCACTCTTGTCAGAGCATAGCACAGCTCCCCGTGCATCATGGCAACTGGATCCTCCTTTCCCCCGGTGCAGGAGGACCTGAAGAGGTGGGTCCACCTCAGTCCCCTCTCAAGGAGGGACTGAGTCTCCAGTAGCACATCTCTGTCATTCTCACCGGCAAAACCCTCTCCAGCTGCAGACACACCAGAAACAAACCATTCATACTGACCCAATAAAACGACATAAACATTAGATCAGAGCCTCTTCACTTTCGACACACAAAATTAGGTCATACTACACACATGCATACCTCCAGAGGGGGTGTGGCGGTATGGACGAGAGGCGAGAGATTCCTTCAGACAAGACAGCTTCATAACGAGCTCCCCGCATATTAGTGGGTGTGGTCTCCACAGCCCCAGCCAATCAGTCATGTCCACCAGCTGCTCCATAACTCCAGCATACTATATAGATGACGGTTCGGGCGACATAGGGGGAAATGCAAATGTCAGAGCAAGATAGGGGGAAAGGAGAAGGTTTGGGGTGAGATAGGCATTTTTGGACTCAAGGCAAACATTCATGTATTACTGGTCACCTCTTTTCCTCTGCGTGAAGAGGTCAAAGGTCTGGTGGTATTGAAGTGGTGGGAGTGCAGTTGACTGACGGCGGGACGAACTGTGTCCCACAGGAACAGAACGGAGTCCTGGAGAAGGTCCCGTTCCCATTCCTGGAGGGCGGGGTTCTGGCAGGCAGAGTGTAGGAGTGAAGAGAGGTTGAGGAGCTTATCTCCATGTTCCTGGGTTACCAGTGCTGGGGGGGGGGTATTAGCATGACAGTATAAGATATTCTTTACCTGAGAGAGTAAACTTTCAAACAACATCACAAATCAAGCCAAAACTTAAGTTCCCCAGTTCACCCCGGGTTTTTTACCCCTGGAACAAACTTCTTCGGAGATGTTTCAACACCATGCCAATACTTGGCCGAGTATACACTCTAAGATGAGAGGAGGCCTGAGTGAAACACACCGTGTTGACTCTCTGCTCCTCCAGGCAGAGTTACCCTCTTCCCCCCAGCTCCCCTCACTCCCTCCACCGCCATCAGCAGTCTGATACAGACCAGGTGACGGGCCACTGCTGGCTCCGGACTCCGCCCAGCCACACCCAGAGCCCTGTCCAGGAGGAGATCACACACTTCTCGCTGGTCGTAGGAGAGCGCCATGCGGACGTAGCGAAGGATGGAGACAAGAGGAATCACGTCTGACTCTGAGAGAGAAAGGTTTGAAACAGAGGGTTTCGATTTCAGTTGTGATCTCGCTGCCAGAGTGTGTGTAGGGAGGATCGAGAAACGTACTGTTGATGGCCGATTCAAGGAGAGAGACGTGGGGTGTGTCATTGGCCTGTGTTTCCTGCTCGTCCTCCCAGTGCTGCAGTGACTTCAGAGCCAGGTCCGTCCCTGCACACAGCAGCTCCTGTGCGACAGTCACACGCAGAGAGAGAGAGAGAGAATGGTAAGGTATATGATAGCCAATTTGCATGCCAAGAACCTGACCTGTATCACATCTGCAGTGGTATCAGCGTCGAGATTAGTGATGGGGCGGGGAAGCCCCTTTGCTAATGGGTCTCGGCACGGCTCGGCGAGTGCCTCAAGAACTGCCAGAAATCTGGCAGCATCTCCAGGGAACAGCTCTACCAGGAGTTTCTCTGTGGGTGAACGCGGAAACAACTGCTGGAGCAGTTCTTTGATGGTTGGTCTCTTTTTCGGTCGAAAAACAGTCTTCCGAGTCAGTCGAGACTCTAGTACCGAACGTCGAAACACGACGACTCCTAATTTCAGGGTCGCCTCGTGGAATACCCTCTCACTCGCCTCAGTCGCTGCTGAGCTACTCTGGTGTTCCAGTAGAGCCAGTTGGTGTACTTTCTCCAGGCCTCGTCGTGCAAACAACTCTGCGTGTCGCGGCTCCTTCAGCTGGAAGTAACACTGACACACTGCAGTGTAGATATCCACCCTCAGTCGCAGGTATCTCAGAGTCAGGAGTGGTACGGAGGACTCCGTGCAGACTGAGGCCCACAGGAGAGGCTGCAGTGCCGCCGAGACCTTTCCCGTCGACAGGAGGCAGCGAGAGATGGAGTAGGTGAGGAGGACCGAGTTGTAGGCCAGCCAGTAGTGGGCTTCTCGCTGCAGGCAGGCCTGGGAGCAGCTCTGGAGCTGTCTTAGTAAAGAGAGAACTTGCGACACTGTCTGGGGAAACTACGAAAAAGAGAGGATGAAAGAGTAAAACACTGAGTATCGATATTGTATTAGAATGGGGCAGAGCTAATGTCCTTCATTTCGAGGGTCCTTTTTCGGTCTAAGTTCTTATTTTGCTTCAAATACAACTTACCATAAAATGTGGATCAGGATTCTCCAGAAGGTAATGGTAGTACCTGCTGGCAGTGTCTCCTATTGCAGCTCGCAGCTATGTTATGGAAAGACAGGGAAACTAACAAACTACTCTCTAGGCACAGTCTAGTATCACTCACAGCAAAAGTGGCAGTTTCAGTCTGTTTCGAAGTCTTGCAGAACTCCACTATCCAGTCACTGCCTCTGTCTTTATTGTATCCTTCAAGACTTCGCAGGTATCTTCCATAGCAGTGAACCGAGGCCAGCTGGTACTCCTGCAGTCATGGCAACTGTCTATATTCTGGTACACATCAGAGGTAAATCAAACCTTGGCTTGATAGAGGGTGTCGCCTGTTGAGAGCTGTTTCTCTGCGAGGAACTCGGGACTTAGTTTCGTCTCGTACTTGCTCGCCTCGTACTTGTTCCACAGCTGGAAGAGTCCGTTGGACCTGCGTATATTATGTAGAATAGCTAGCTAAACGACTTGTTTGTGTCTCGCGTTTTCTCTCACAGTCTCTGTCGCAGAGCGGTGTCCGCGCGCCGACTGCAGAGCTTTCCCAGCGACTCCAGCTCATAGCTCAGCTCCTTCTCGAACGACAACACCTCAGGCCTTGTCGTCTGGCGAGGAATAGCATTACTGCTGCTGCGGGTCGCCTGCTGCAGAACCGCCGCCATTTTATTGTATATCGACCTCGACGGTTGCTAAGTAACAGTGACCTTTGCCCTCTATACCTAGGCGGGAAAGAAGACATGGGCAAGAGACGGCGAAGCGATGCAAACGAGAGCGAAGGAGAAGCACCGACTACGCCGAGCGGCAAAAGAGCCTGCACCGACAAATGGAGCTTTCCCGACGAACTCAAAACCGCGGTGGGTGCTCTTTTATTAGAACTTCCGATGCGGCGGGCGTTAATTAGAACCACACACTCTGCAGACGCATCTGTGTCAGAAACTGTACGACTTTCTGCGGAGAGCAAAGGACGATGAGAACCGACTTCTCTGCGAGTGCCTCGTGCGTGTTCCATCTCGCCGCTCCCACCCCCAGTACTATGACGTCATCAAAACACCAATTGATCTAATGAGGATACAGGTATGCAATAGAACCTCTCTATCTAAAGGGCACACTCGGACCATTAAAACTTTGCAGAAAGTGTCCTTTATTCCGAGGTATTATAGTGAACATTTACACTTTCTTCCACATGTTTCTCCTGCTCAAACGTGGTAGACTGATTGATGTATGTGTGTGTTGATGTGTGCAGCAAAAGTTGAAGACGGATGAGTACAGATCTGTCCATGATTTCCTCCATCACGTACGTCTGCTGTTGGAGAACGCGAGGTCTTTCTTTGGAGAGGGTTCGGAGGAGGTGGCCTGTGTGGACCAGCTTGAGACCCGGTTCACACAACGACTCCAGGACTACGCAGGACACTTTGCACGTTCCTCTGGTGAGGGAGAATGGGAGTAGAGATTAGCACTAGGTTCGTATATACGTACAAGTGAGGTCAATTCCATTTGAACCCTGCTTATGTTTAACCATTATGCCTTAAGTCATTAGTCGTTAATGACTCAAGGGGTCGTAAGATTGAGTGCTCCACTAGTTTTTTACATACATCATTTGTGTGATTCTCTGTTTATTGCTCTGTGCAGCCATGTACTAGATTCTGTATCCCACTTCAATGAAAGTCTTACCTCATTCCCCACAGGAACCGACTCCTCCCCTCCCTCCCTCACTCTCAGAATATCAAAGGACCAGCTCCAGGGCCTCTCATCCTCCTCATCCTCGTCCGGTAAAACCAGTCAGTCAGGTTTATCCCGTCAGCAGCAGCCTCGTAGCAAGCTGACCCGCTCGAAGGCATGGCTTCAGGGCTATCTGTCCTCTGGAGACCCTCTGAAGATGTTTCTAGCAGCAGTCTACGAGCACACTGACTCCACGGGGGTCTGCGTTGCCGAGGCCTTTCACGAACTTCCCTCTGCTAAGGTGAGCCTCTTGCGAAAGATTAGCTGTATTTATGTGGTTCACTAGTTGTCTATTGTCTGTTGATCCTTCAAGTGACCACATTTCTGATTTCTGTGCAAAAAGAACTTTGTGTGTTCAGTGCTGCATTTGAGCTCCGTAATTTCACATGTGTGGTGAAATTTGAGTGGGCCATGTCGTAGTGTCTTAAAACCTGACTGACTGGTTCTCTTTTCTTGTTTTGCAGGACTACCCCGAGTATTACGAGGTAATCACGGAGCCGATTGACCTGCACACCATAAAGAGAAACCTAGAGGTGATTAATTTATTATTAGAGGAGCCGTAGATATGACTCGTGTGTTGTCATCGTGTAATAATTGTAGGGGGGACGCTATTCTAATCTGAGAGACATACAAGAAGACATGATCCTGATGATAAAGAACGCGCACTACTTCAATGAACCTGGCTCGGATGTTTACAAGGTCCGCTCGCTTGCTTCCCTCTTTCTACGTCTTCATGCAACATAGAGTTTTTTGTCTCTTTCTACGCAGTTTGCTAGCACCCTGCGGAGGTTCATCATCAGCCACTGTGCAGATTTGGAGAGGAGATTCCACACCGTGGTGCCAAAGTACTGAGTAACAATATAACCTTACCTTGTGTTCCAAACCTCCCCTCAACGAGGCATAGCAAAACTGTGCTAGTTACACAGCAAGGCTGGGAACTTTATACTTTACACTCTGTTTTTTGCTATATAGGCCTCTGAAGGTATCTCTGAAACGGCCAGGTGTTAGTGAGGGAGGTGGGGAGACGATGGACGAGGGAGAAGGAGGCGAGAAAAAGATCCCGAAACTCAAAGTGAGGATTGGGAGCGACAGTGTCGGAGAGGTCAAAGTACACTCGGGGAGCTCTGGTGAGGCGGGGGTTAAAGTTAGCCGAAGGCTGAGTCAGTCGTCCAAGACGCCAGACACGGAGGACGAATCGGCCAACAGGTCTGTGATTCAGTGATCAATTGCCGTGGCAACTGATTGGTGGTGACACATGCAGTGAGAGCAGTGTTGGAGAGGACAGCTCGCAGAGTGAGGACGAGGGAGAGGGAGATGTTGCCAAGAAGAAGGGCAAGGCCTCACGGGGCAAAGAGAGAGAAGATCAGCTTGCCAAGCTACTGAAGGTAGAGAGCGGGGGAATCTTTGTCGACCTTTTGTCCTTCTTAGAGCCTATCACTCTAACCTTATGTTTCTATTTCTCTCTAGTCCCGCAACACTCCACCTCTGAGGAAGCAGGCTCTGGCTCTCTACCATCATCTGGTTCGTCACAGAGACGCCCACGGGAGACAGACTGCTGAATTATTCATGAGGAAACCTTCGGCCAAGATGTACCCAGAGTACTACGTCGTCATTCGCTCGCCCATCGACTTCAGGGAGATCTCTCAGAGGATCAAGACAGAGCAGGTGTGAACACGACGTCATTTCTATATCACTCTCTCAGTCTTTAGTCTGCATCAAATTTTTAGCGAGCGAATGCCAAATTTCAGGAAGCCCTGTCTCGCTAGAGCTACCTGAGTGAACAAGGCATTTACGATTTTTTGTGCGGTGACTTCACTTGCAGCCAATATGTAGGTACATAGGAAGGCTTACTTCATTCCCCCAATAAGAGATGTCTTGGTGTAACGTTCTTCCTGTAATGTAGTACACGAGTCTGGAGGAAGTGATGAAGGATGTGGAGTTACTGGTCAGCAATGCCACTACCTTCAACGAAGAGGACTCCACCGTCTACCAGGTTGGCCCACAGCAATCGTTCTTCCTTTGTTTTTGTTTTTTGTGCACGATTAATGGGCAATAGTAGCTAGAGCATAAACTTTTTAATTTCTGCAATTTTCGTGATTTTCGCAGATTGTTTAAAAATCCAGATGCAATTGTGAAAGTTTGGTATAAATGTTTTGGGTGTACTCCATTGTGTCCAAGAGTGCTGTAATATCTCTTTTCCCTTCTCTAGGATGCTCTAACGTTACAGCAACTGGCTCGAAATGCCTCCAACAGACTCCAGACCGCGTGGCCACGCCCACAGCCACACCCACCTTCAAAATCAATGACATCGTTGGCTCAACCGCTGCCGCCTGCAGTGGCCACACCTATCACAGTTCCCTCCCCTCGGCCGCGGGGTCGTCCAAGAAAATACCCACTCCCACCAGATGTGGGTGTGGCAGTGGGCGGAGCCTCTATTCAGTCCCCCATATCATCTCTCTTCATGGCAATCAAAATGTTCACCGTGAGTGCAAAATATTTCTTCATTCACAATAGTTAAAAAACAGATTGGAAGTTGTTAATTGAGACTTTAACAGTGAAATGGCAAAAGTTGTGTTCCTCTCACTACTCAATTATTCTTCTCGTCCTTCTCCCCCTCCCTCTCTCTCTCTCTCTCTCTCTCTCTCTTTCTCTAGCTGCAAGGCCGAGGTCTGTGGAGGTCGCTACAGAGCCAGCCAACGGTTGGCTCCGAGGCCAGGAAAGAATTCAGCACCATCTCCATGAAGATTGCCACTGGAAAGGTAGCGTACACCTCTCGTGATCGTAAATTTAGAGAAGAATGGTTTACGAATTCTCTCTCTTGTGCGGAGAGATAATGCACCGTAGGTTAGCATACACTACAAATATTCCTCAAAAGAAAACTAATACAGAAAGTGTACTTGTCAATGTAGTAGTACGATAGTGAAGCTCCGAATTGGCTGTTTCCGCTGATATGATCGAGTGTATCGTGGGGCAGACACTTTAGCAAAGGTCCGAGAGATCTTTGTCTCTCTCTCTCTTTCTCTCTCCCCAGTTCCTGAATGTTCATCAGTTGTACCAGGAACTCCACAAGTCACTGGACCACGTCGTCCAGACCCAGCCCACCGAGTCTCTTCTCTATCGTGACGCTCTCATCCTGTGCCGTGTGGCCGCCAAGAAGTACCTCGAGCTGACTGCAGACGAGAGGGGCACCCCTCTCTATCCCAACGTACAGGAGGCAGTTCAGGGGATGCTGCGCTCTGTGCTGACCAGGACTCTCCAGTGCCCAGAGGCAGAGGGACTGAGGGAAGTGGTCGTCACTAGAGATATTCAGGCCGATGGAGATGAGTGAGTTTAGACTTGACAAAATGTGAGGCTCTTGGCGTGCGAGAAAGTGAACATGACTCAACGTGTACAGGAAGCTAAAATGTGTCTCTCTCTCTTGTCAGACCTCCAACTACTCACAAACTCTCTCTCCCTCTCATGGAAAAGTGGGTGGAGCGCTGTTGCTACCGGCGACTGGACTCCCTTCAAAACGACCTCCTCTCGATTCTGAGCTTTGCGGCCGAGCAGAGTCCAACAGTCCGTCCCTCTCTCTCTCTCTTCTCTCTTTTCTTACCTCGAACGTGTAGTCAGTCGTGCATGTAGTGCAGTTGATTTTCCATCGTGTTGAAGCTGTAGAACAAGACCCCTAAAATATAGGCCAGGGTTTGGATAGGTTTTGGAATATTTCCGTTCTTTCATTAACCCTCGGCGCCCATGTGCAGCGAGGGTTATTTACTAAGTAGTTCATTGTTTCATTCAGCTGTGTCAGAGTGCCGTGGCAGTTGGAAGAGCCTACATTAGGGCCAGAGATGCCGTGGTGGCGGGAGGGAAAGGAGGGAAACTAACTAGTCCCGCACTGTCCTACACCGCTGAGCATCTGGAACAAGACATTGCCGGGAAGATGGGCTCCTCCGACAAAAAGGGGGTGGAGCCAGTTGCCGAGAAAACAACGGCAGAGAGCGAGGTCGGGAAAGCGATGGAATCTGGTGAGACGTTTGACGAGCTGACGGAAGCCGGAAAGACTTATCGTGTTGGGGACGTTGTCTACCTCACTTCGAGGTGTGTTTCCGACTGGTCATGTGACCTTCATGTGTGTGTCATGTGACCACAGGAACGCTGGGCAGAAACCTCACATTGTGTCCATAGATAAACTCTGGAGAGATTCGAAGGGTGCAGCTGTAAGTGTCACTAGCTCTGATCTTCAACACGACAGCCTCTTGTTCTTCTTTCCCCTTCACCTCTCTTACCCTCTCTTACCCTCTCCTCTGTCTCAGTGGTTGCAGGGCTTCTGGTTCTACAGACCTGAAGAAACCTTCCACCTAGCCACCAGAAAATTCTACGAAAAAGTAAGCGAAAAAAACCCGGCAGATCCCCAAAAACAACCAAACGTGTTTACTCTGGACCACGCCCCCTCTATACTCCCACTTGCCTTCCTCCCTTCTTCTCTTTCCCTCTCTCCCTCGTCCCCCTCTCCCCACACCAGGAATTGTTCAAGAGTGACTTCCACAGCGTGGCCATGCTGAGTGAAGTCCAGGGACTCTGCTGTGTCCTCGTCCTCAAGGACTACATCAGATCTTCTCCCTCTGACTTTCCCGAGGACGACGTCTTTGTGTGCGAGTCTCGCTACGCTCGCAAGGCCAAGAGCTTCAAGAAAATAAAAAACTGGAGCTACCCGCTCGGTCGACAGCCGCGATTAATTACCAGAGACGTCCCCCTCTCTCTGAGAAGGGTACCGTCCGTGTTTATGACGCAGTCCACTCGGGTGAAGGGGTCCGGTTCCCAATCCGTGGTACCGGTATCAGACACAATCGGGTCGAGCGATAAAGACGCGGAGTTGTTCTCAGAGGCCCACGGAAGTGATCCCTCCCTACCTCACCCCGTGCAGCTGGAGAACGTGAAGGCTTGGACGGTGTCAAATCCGACGACTGGCTGCACGTACTACGAACAGTACTGTATCGATGAAGACAAGTTCAGGCTCGGTATGTGCGTATGACGGAATGAGTGTCTGACGGTATGTGATATGGAAATCCTGCAGGGGACTGTGTGTACGTGAGATCGGACCAGGAGAAGCCGTTTGTTGCCCGAATCGATCGCATGTGGACAGACGCCAAGTAAGTCACTTATTTTGGCAAACAAAAATCATAACTAATTTCAGTGGAACATCTCTAAGAGTAAACACCTGAAATAAGGACACCTCTTAATGGAAGTTCTTTCCCCAAGAATATCTCTTAACCAAAGGGACATCACTCATTTTGTGTCCAAATTAGAGGGTTCCACCGTGCACTTTACAGAAATTTAACCCCCCTCCCCCCCAGTGGGGACCCATGGTTCCACGGTCCGTGGTTCGTCTACCCTGAGGAAATAAGCCACACCCCCACCCGTCTCTTCCTGGAGAGGGAGCTGTTCATGAGCAACATCCACGACACCAACCCAATGAGGTCCATCATCGGTCGCTGCTCCGTCCTCCCGCTCCCGGACTACTCCCGGAAGAGACTCAGCGAGTTCTCAGAGAGCGACGTGTTTGTAGTGGAGAGCCGGTATCTGGAGGCCGAGGGGGAGATCAGGAAGATCGTCAAGACTGCGGCACTCAGACCTCCTCAGCTGTCCAGAGACGTTCAGGAAGATGAGGTGTTTGTTTTTCACTCCGAGATCCACCCGAGAAAGGTAGTCGGAAAAAAAATACTTTAAACTTTCTGTGGCAAATTTGTTGAGAGATTTTTACTAAGCTGCTTGTCGTGCTGTCTTCATCCAAATGATTAAACTAAGAATCGCAATTATTCACTTTTTCCCTTTCAATATGCAAGTTTGTTTAGAATAAAATGCCCTCCGTTTGACTGGGTTTTTTCTTATTACGTGTGGTCTAACTCGTTTTGTCTTTCAGCTACCCTCGCCAAAGCTGTTGCTGCAAGTTACGTCACCAGCCACTCTGGCTCCCAGCTCTGGCAAACCATCCTCCCTCTCCTCTCAGACTTCGTCCGGTACTGCCACACCGGTCCCCGCCAAACCCTCCACTGTCGGCCCGGTATCGTCTTTGCTACCGACCCCCCCTGGGGGACCGCAGCCGACGACAGTGGCAAACGTTGTCAACATCAATCCTCAGTTGCTGCAGGCGCTCCTGGCCACTGTCTCGCAGGCCAACTCCTCCAAATCTATCCTACTACCTCTACCACAGTCTCCACCCGTCTCCGCTGGGACCTTAGCCACACCCACCACTGTGAGTGATCACAACAGCCGTCTTAATAGTACAGCAAATTTGCGAAAAACCTGTGTTTTTCACTTTTTAAGCTTTTGTGTCATGTGGCATTTTAGTGAATACAACTTGCTCACATGTGCACCAACAGAATGCTTTAAAAGGTTAATTTGAAATTCTAGCGAGTTGACAAGAGTGCAAAGCCAAACTTTCTCCACTCTGAACTGTTCCTCTCCCTCTCATCTCCATCGTCCAGCTGGTGCAGTCGAGTCCCCTCCACACTCCCAGCCCAGCCGGCCAGGTGAGGATCGAGCCGACATCGCGATCCACCAGCCTGGTGGGCTACATCTGCCTGTGGGACGAGTGCGGGGAGAATTTCAACACGCTCACTGACCTCACAACTCACCTCATGCTGAATGCTGACACCACACATCTCGTCAGGGAAGGTAATGTGAAGTGGGCGGGGTCTGCAGTTTAGTCCTCTCTTCAGGTATCTACCAGGGCAATATTTTCACCATTTGTATCCAGTAGTAGAGTATCTTGTTCTCTATCTGTAGCTGACGGCCATTTTTACTGTCGGTGGGCCAACTGTCCTCGCAACCCCAGACATGGAGGAAGGTTACATAACCCCATCACTCCTCATGAATATTCATGAACCATTTCTCATTCCTTGCCACACAGAGCATTTGATGCCATGCCAAAGATCACGCGCCACGTGAAGGAAGTTCATCTCCTGAAGCTCTCACAAACAGCCCTGTGAGTGTCACATGTTCATCATGTGACACTCACATGATCATCATGTGATCTCTCCTCTGCCGCAGGGGGCTGAATCCGCGATCTCACGTCATCCAGGGACAAGTGGTCCGACCTCCTGCACCCTCGCCACCCGCTCCTTCCCCAGTCATCTCTCTCTCCTCCATTCCCCTCCCCTCCAACTTTGCCTCTCCCTCGCTCCCCGTGGCCCACATCCCCATCATCACCCCTCCCCCTGTACCCATTGGCACCAACCTCTCCTCTTCCTACACCACTTCCTCCGTGTCTCTAGATGGTAAGGTCTCACTCCTCTTCTCCACTCGTGCCATCTTCTACTCTTTTTCTTACTCTGTGACACAACCCTCATAGAGCAAAATCTCTCTTTCCCTGATTTAAGTCATAAAGTCTCTGGTTCAATCCTCTCTCCAGCCCAGCAGTCAGTTCCCTCAGCGACAGTTGAGGGGACGCCAGCAGCTGCTCCTGTCTCCCTCTCATCAGTCCCGTCAACAGCACCTCCTCCATCTTCTGACGCTCCCACCACTACCTCCGCCATTCCCCTCCCTGTCAGTTGTACACTCTGCTATATAGACTATCTGCCCTCTTTCTCTCCATATTATGTTGAAACATACACTCAATCTCGACAGATATCCAGTATATTTGTAGCTCCTCCGGTGGACAAGAAACCCATACTTCACTCTGCCATCTACACCAAGTTAGTTCTGAGAAACAATTTGGACAAGATATACACAAACTTCACTCTGTTTTTTCGTCCCCTCTCTCTCTCTCTCTAGATACATTGAGGGTCTCCAGAAGGGGTCAAAGTACAGCTCTTCGCTGCAGACAACGGACCAGATGAGCCCCGCCCACCGGTCGTCAATGACATCATCTCAAATCCAAGTGTCTGATTGGCTGTTGCCATCGGCGATACCGCCAAACATGAGCGCCACGGAAGCACTGGTAACTCTGAGAGACCATCTTCTTCGAGACAGTCTGAGACTGGGACAACACTTGGATCATTTCCAGTAGCAAAACATATCATCTTCTCACAGTATTATCTCACATTATCCGCGAAGAGAATGATACCGGATCACTGTCATGTGATTGTCATGTGATACTTAGGTGCAACTGAATTATCAGTTTCACTAACATTATTTCAGCCAAGGTTTCGTTTTTCTCTTTGTATTTTGATAATCATGTGAACATTGCATCATCCGATATAATCTCAAACAGTGGTGGAACGGGTATAGGAGGGTTGGTAAGCTGCAGAACTCTAGTGTGAGATGGGCCAAACAGTGTGTGTGACAATCATGTGACAGTCAGGTGGTTTGCATGTTATCATCCATGAGGGCTTTCCTCAGAGGTGAAAATGACCGGATCTCAGCGTATACCAGCTCTGAAGGAAGGGAGGGGAAATATTACTATTAGTCTTCGTTTACCGCAACATTTAGAGTTTACAAAGCGGTCCAATTTTTTATGCTTCACAACTTCAAATCTGAACTCACTTCTCCATCCCTCCACATCCAGTTCCATGTTTTCAAAAGAGTCATCGTATTGACGATCACACTCGGGCTGTGTGGAAAAGAGAGATAGGTTCCAGAAGGAAGGGAGGAGAAGAGAGAATGAGACAAGAGATGAAGAGTATATAGAAGACAGTGAGATGAGGTAGAGAGAGAGAAGAGAGAGACCTCATCCTCGGGGTCATGATATTTGGCGAGGTAGGGATGGTCCAGCGCCTCAGCTGCGGTGGGTCTCTTGTCAGGGTCCATGTCCAGCAGCTGTCCCAGCAGGTCCACCGCTGTGGGGTTGGCTCCGACAAAGAACGACATGAAGTCCTTCCTGGGGTAGTGTGGCAGGGAGGCCACGTAGCTGCGTGCCGACTCATTGTCGATCTTGTCCATGAGAGCCTTGTCGGGAGTGCCGCAGATCTGGACTACCCTAGTGAGGTGCTCTCGATCTTGGCAGAGAGTTAGGGATCTGTCACACCATTCGATGAACACAGTATATTGCTTCAAACTCCTTTACACACTTGCAATTGGTGGCTACTACTCCAGAGCATGGTTTACATGGGACCACATACTTACACAACGACGGTCACACAGGGATTTAGCCATAAAGCAACTGAATGAGGGCATTTGCCACACACCGAGTCCCAAAAGACCATACCATGCGTTCATGAGCTAAGCATACTGTAGTAAGGGAGGTGGGGGACCATACTTCCTATATACCTGGTTTCACGTATGTATGTATGTATACATTATGCTATGTACTATCATGCTATACAAGTTCAGAGTAGGTATCCCTAACCGATATTGAGAAGAGGTGTGCTAGATGATGATTTCTTTTGTAGAGCAGGTGTGAGTGTGGATTTACAGTCAGACACTTTGGGGAAACAGGATATTTCTCCCTTTGCTTTTTTGTCTTTAGTAGCTACAGCCATGATGCACCCCACAGACCAAATATCAGCTGCAGACAGAGACGCACATGTATAGAGAGAGAGAGAGAAAGAGAGAGAGTTTTATGACGTGGAAGTGCTCTATCAATCACCATGCAAACTGTGTGCAGTATCTTCTAAAGGCTCTCCTCTTTATGTGGATGGCTCAAAATAAACTGCCACAAAAGTTGTTTTTATGCGCGTGCCACTGTCCACACAACATTGCACAGAGAACACTCTAGCCCTTCCACTTTATGGCAGCAAGGAGAGAGAGAAAAAGTAGACAGCAGAGAGAGACCTTTCTGGGTATAGTGCATCCAGTTCAACATGATCTCTGGAGCTCTCCAGTGGCGAGTTGTTACGTAACCAGTCATAATCTGCGCAGTGGCTCGGCCCAGTCCGAAGTCGAGGATCTTGATTTCGCAATCTTCACTCACGCCAATGTTACTAGGTTTCAAGTCCTATGAGAGGAGAACATTACCACACACTTGACTATTATATAAGTTTAGAACAAACTATACCATATAGCAGGAGACTACGGAGAATATTTGATTATTCCACTGAAGATAAAATAGTCATCCAAACCCACAATATTTTCATTCAGAAAACTTTAACAGATGGCATTGCAAGTTTGTTCCAAAAATTTCCCAAAATGCAGTAAAATTATACAGACTCACTCTGTGGATGATTCCGGCAGAATGCACATACTGTGAGAAAAATACACCAGTTGAATGAGGTATGTACGCATGTTATGGAGTGAGAAGGAGAAGAGGCGTGAGGATTGACCTTTGTTGCATGTGGAGGATAGCTGCCGTAATGTGACCAACCTGGAAATTGACATGGAGAATCACAGGTGTACACTGATGGTGAGTGCTGCACTATCTTCCTATGTGTAGTGTTCGGAGGAATCCCCCCCCTTTTAATCCCAATGCAGCTCACTGCGGACAAGAAGTAGCTTAGCACGGATATTGCTTAGAGAGAGAGTGATGTAATGAGTATTTTCGCCTTGTCCAGCAGTGATGGCGTAAGTAGCGTGCTGCATTAGAGGTCGGTCGGACACCCAGTCACGCTCTGAGATCTAAGCTGAGTCGAAAAAGACAGGAGCACATACGCGGCGCACGACTGAATTGCACGAGACGATGTACGTGAGCTAGGGTATAGGAAGGCGTGCTGCACGGTCTAGAGAACACATGGCAGCTATCGAGACAAGAGCAACTCCGAGAGAGATGAGCCACTAGTAGACAGATCTCGCTGTGAAGTAGGAGAGATACGAAGAGGGGTGAGATAGTAGCTAAGGTCGTGTAATGAATATCACAGTCTCCAGCAGTTAACCAGTCCCTCACGTCTCTCTAATTATCGCGCTGATCTCCAACAGACAGACCAGCAAGGGGTGGTGGCTGCGTAATAGATCACATCCTAGAAGTAGAGACTCTCCACCTCCGTCTAGCCATAGATCTGAGCTGGATCGTGAGTGTTGCTGATGAGCTGCAACACAGCGTGAGGGTGTCCAGTTCTCCTAAGTGTGCACCATAGTGAGGCTAGGGTGGATAAGGAGGTCTCTCATCACGTCAGTATGTTTTCTGTGTGTGTATGCGCTCGACGGAGACTACCCACCTTAGTCGTGTGACGCTCCCTGTTAGCTACCCCAGCTTCTCGGCCTTGTGCGATGGTGTCCGCGAAATGGATCCGCGATCAAGCGTTCCGTGACTCTGCACCCTTCTGTATTCGGTATCTCGCGTGTCTCTCCGCGTATTAGCAGTATTCCACCTGTTTCCCATCTTTGTTTTGCCGCAGCACAACTGGTAATTGTTCGGAAATTCGCTAGGTCCGGCGTACGTGCGAGACGCGATTTATATTGGAGGCATCCGTGGATCTCATACAGTTTGTGCCGCATATCGGCTGATAGTTTTCCGCAGCATGCTTGAGACGTCTGGTAGGCTCATCGTATCTCCTACTATCCGATACGGTTCCCAGGCTCGTATGCTAGAGAGGTTACCGCACCCAACTCGTCCGCCTGATGTAGTTCTGCATGGCTGTCGCGCAGTCTTTGACCTGGTATAGGTATTGCTGCGATGCATTACCTTAGATTGCGGAATGCGATAAATCGTCGTACGCCCATCGCGCAGGTTGTATATGACGTGCTATAGTATGCTTTACATGACCGCTCGCCTCGCACGCGAGAGAGAGCTGTGCGCGCAGATTATGCAGCTTTTACTTGGATGAGCCGGAGGTTACCTGCCCAGTTGGCATTGTGAAGAATTACTGTTCACACGGGTTGGTTCACCTTGTTGATGCCTATGGGGTACAGATGTGAGACTGCGGAGCATATGCCTGCCCTGGCGTCGTTTTTTGGTCCACTGTTTCACTCAAGGCCGGCGAGTCAGTTAGTGTCAAACTAATGAACTGAATTGGATATCATAGCTCCTGCATTGGTCGAGGCGTCCGCTGGGCTGACGATCCAAACGCGTACACAGCGCTTCACCGGCCGGGCGTGCCCGACCGTGTGTCTGCCGTGGTTGGGCAAAGCGGTTTTAGTCTTTGACGTGTTCGTTGTGTTTTTCGCCGCTGTAGGATCAACGCACCAAATCAAGGACGGGAGCGTTGTGCGGAAGTGCCGTGTGGCGGACAAGACGGGGAGCGTAAGTTTCTCGCTATGGAACGAGCAGGCGGAGGCCATAGAGGCAGGCGATATCCTTCGCCTGATCAACGGGTGAGTGAGAGAAACCTATTCTTTGGCCACTACGTTCAGCTCCCTACGCGTGCGACAGGTACGCCTCGCTCTGGAAGGGGACACTGGTGCTGTACAGCGGGAAGTATGGGCAACTGGAGAAGATAGGAGAGTAAGTGAACCCACTCTAGTCCTTGGGTCTTCCTTCCCCTTCCCTGCCTGTTTTAGAGAACGGATGTGTTTTTTGCTCTCACAGGTTCACAATGGTATTTTCAGAGGTGCCGGACATGAGCGACACCAGCCACGACTTTGTCCAGCAGCACCAGAAGGAGAAGGAAGCTCAGGTTAGATAGTGCCCCCCTCCCTCTCCCCAATGCCCACCCTCCCTTCCCTTCTCCTACCTGTAGGACACCAGACATCACAACGGGAGAAGTGGCAGTAGTCATGATGCTCACGGAGCCGAAAATCACGGCAGCAGATCAGGACAGAGTTCAGGACGACTCGGATTAGGACAGCACAGAGACGGGAAACGGAGCTACACGCCTTCGCCCACGGGAGAATACCGACCTTCCCCTCCTCACACATGCACATCGTCACACACTCCACCGCTTGTCAATAACTCACACCCTTCCCATCCTGGGGGCAGCCGCCCACACAGGGAGAACCACTACTCACTAAATTCCGGGCCCCTCAGAACTCATCAGGAAGTGGGGGGTAATCGCTATCACCCCTACCATAATCGGAGATAACCCCCCCTTAGCTCCTGCACCAATTCACGAAAAAAATCTTGTCTTATTGTACAAAAATGTTTTACAGATTTTCAATGAACACACAGATAAGTGGAATACAACTTGCACACTGCATAATATAGATTTTAGCCTGGTATGTATATATGTACAATACCAGACTAAGTGTGAGCATGTGGGAGACAGCAAAATTTATTATATAATACAACACAAGAACTTACACACAAGTACACTACACTGTTGTTACTATATTTACATACATAGGTTGTTGCTATATTTAGTTGATTATTTAGCAACACCCCTTTTTCTTCTGTTGGGGGTTCGCATCCAGCCGTATGTCTGGGACTGGGTTTACATTAGGCTTGTATATATCGTCGTTCTCCTTTGCGAGTGCATCCTTGGCAATTTTCTGAAACGCCTGCTCTACGTTGATCGCCTCCTTGGCGCTCGTCTCGAAATAGGGGATGTTGTTTTTCGACTCGCACCAATTCTGTGCACGACGCGTAGGCACCTGTACAACGACGGAAAGGAAAAAACAACACACTTTAACAAAACATTCTTAGAAAAAGTTTATCCAAACACACAAGGAAATTCCCCATAGGCTTGTTTTTCATCAAGGGGGGAATTACGGGTATTCCCCTCAGGGGTTCATTCATTATACGTGGTAAAGTCCCTTATCAAACCTTGCTCCCCCTATGAGTTGATCTTTTAACGCACATGGACACAGGGATTTGCCCCCACCCTCTTCTCATAAACTCATCTTTACTCGACCCCCCTGAATCATTTCCTAAATGAAGCCCTGCCCTCCCCCTCTCCCATCGTTATCTCACCGCTCTGTTCTCCAAATCAACTTTGTTGCCGAGGACAACGAAGGGGAAGTTTTCAGGGTCTCGAGGGCTGGCCTGGATGAGGAACTCGTCTCTCCAACTGTCCAGAGTCTTGAACGAGTTAGCACTTGTCACGTCGAATACGAGGACGCAGCAATCGGCTCCGCGGTAGAACGCCACGCCCAGACTCTGGAACCGTTCCTGGCCTGCCGTGTCCCAGATCTGGAATGGAACAGAGACCACTTCTAGCAAACCAACACCAGACATTACGTGTTTCTCACACTTAGTGGAACCCCTCCAATCCGGACAATAATGAGACCGAAGAAAGGTTCTATGTTAGTGAGGTGTCCTTATTTCAGGGGTTGTATGTAAGAACTGTTCGTGAGAATATCCTTATTAGAGAGGTGTCCTCATTAATTTTTCATGGGTGTCCACTAATCCAACATCAAACTAGTACATGCCACTTCTAAGAAAGTCTTCCAGACTAAATCAACCTAACTATAGTAGACGCTAAAGTCACACGTCAGCAAATCTTTTCGGCACTATATATACTTCTTACGTGAGTTACTCAGCAAGGTGCTTTCTTAGCTAACAAATGAAGAACAGATCTATGTCTACTGACTGTTTTCAATTTCCCCACGCGGCAGCACTACACGACCTGGTCTGTGTTTAGTTTAACATTTGTCAAAATGTGGAGACATTTGCTTTCAATGGGCCTACAACTGCCGAGCACACATCACTCACAGTTCCGACACAGACACGGGCATATGTCCAGCAATACACACACAGCAGTACGACGTATAATACACACAAGTACAGATACATACCTGCATCGTTACTAGTCGGTCATCTACCATCACTTCTTTCGTTAGAAAATCGGCTCCGATGGTCGCCTTGTACTGTGACGTAAACTTTTTGTTGACATACTGGTTCATAAGTGATGTCTTCCCAACACTATATGGGGAATAAATGGGTGTAACCCTACCAATGAGTACTTGTGAGCTCCTCCAACAGAGAGTGACAGCAGTGTATAATTCACCTCTATCTGAACGTCTCAGCTGACAGAATAGCTGAAGAGCTATAATACTGAGTAATGTGTAGGTTCGCATTGTCCATGATACGTGCACACAATAGCATGCACGGGAGCTGCCAGCACTAGGGGACCGTTCCAGCCAACGCCCGCTCGAACAGTCAACACCACCACACAGAGAGATAGAATACAGACCCGGTCCTCCCTTAGCGACCGAACACTGCAATATGCCACGCTCTTCACAATCATTGGTCTACGTATATACCTAGCGGCCCCCCCATTTACCTACCCCTCAACGTCGTCTCTACGGAAGTCAGCCGACCCTAACTCCACACAACATGACTCACCCACTGTCTCCTAATATGATAACCTTCAGGAGGACCTTTCTCCTAGCCGACATGGCGTCTCACACTCTCCTAGTACCTAAACTGGGGGGATTGAGGCGTCTCCCGCGCGAACTGAACGGCTGAAACGGCAAACCCAGAGCTATGAATGTCGGCCCTTCTCTTCACATGTGACCTCCTCTTATCACATGACCGCATCCGTTACGTCATCATCCCACATCCGAACACTAATGCTCAAAAATTTATCCGTAGCGTATCAAACTTTTACTGATTTCCTGTAAAATTATTGAAACACATCCATAAAAGTTTTGCAGCTTCATAGAGCGAAAATCATCAAAATTTACAGACTACCTAGTCAAAATTCTTGCTACTTGGTCATTGGTCTCTTTTTTAGGCAAGCATTTTCTTGACGGCCTTCACGATGCAGTTGGCAGAGATGCCATAATCTTCCATCAGAAGTGCGGCTGGCCCACTTCGTGGAATGCCGGTCACAGCTAGACGATGAACTTTGACCCCTCCGTCTTCGGCCACGGCAGCTGCAACACCTTCACCCAGACCACCTGCGAGGAAGGAAAAAACAGACGTTACAAATCAACTCTGTTTTGTAATTTTGTACGCAAGTGGTACCCCACCCCCATACCTTCAAAGTAGTGGTCCTCAACGGTCACGATTCGTCCACCAGTGGCCTTGCCACACTCAACCATCAGTGCTTTATCAACAGGCTAAGAAAGTGAAAAGAATTTTTTTAAATTTCGAAATGGCTTCAGCAGTATATCGAGAGGTCACACAGACTAGACTGAGTTTACAATCTGTCTCAAAGGACAACATGTGCAACTTCGCAAGCATAGAATCGAATTTCTATCTTTGCAGCGCTGAAAGCCAATCTGACATACAGCTCTGCTAACCTTGAGGCAGAAGGCGTCCACTACTCTTATGTTGATTCCTTCAGCCTGGAGGGTCTTGTGAGCTGCCAGAGCCTCGTGCAGAGTCACACCAGCTCCCACCACCGTCACCTTGTCGCCGTCAGACTTCCGCAGCACCTGGGCAAGAGAGAGAGAGGAGACAGAGAGGAAGGGAGGGAGGGAAGTGAAGGGCAAAAAGTGAGAGAAGGAGAAGAGACAAAGAGGGAGAAAGGGGAGGTGATCTTCACATTACAGAGACGTGTGAGAGTGAAAGAGAAACTTAGGCTACCTTGCTCTTCCCGATCTCAAAGGTTTCCGTGTTCTCATAGACGACGGCAGTGGCGGGACGAGAGGTACGTGTGAAGGTGACGCCACGATGGTTGGCGGCCAGTTCGAAGGCTCTCTCGGCAGAGACGGCATCAGAGGGGTAGAAACACACCGCTCCGGGGATAGTACGGAACATGGCAAAATCTTCCAGAGCCATCTGGCTGGGTCCATCCTCACCTGACACACAGAATGAGGGAGTCAAGATAAAATGGGTCGGAACGGTACTTTACTGTGCAAATTTTTAACATGGTGCATGAATTAGTCAACATCCTGGCTACAATCGCATACTACTAATTTCACTTTTGGGAAAAATTCAACCTTAACAGAGGAAAACAGAGAGTAATAGAAAAAGAGAGAGGGAGAGGGGTATATAAGTATTACCGATGGAGCACCCAGCATGAGAGCCCACAAAGTTGACTTCCGTCTGGGAGATGGCCCCCATTCTGATCTGGTCGAAGGCTCGGGTGAAGAAAGCGGCAAACGCCGACACAAACACGATGTTGCGAGCACGGCAACCGAGCCCGATGCCCACGCCCACCATGTTCTGCTCGGCGATGAAACACTCGACGAATCGCTCGGGGCAGCAGTTCTTGTAGGTGATGGCAAACGTGGAGTTCTTGGTATCTCCGTCGAGTGCCACGATTCTGGAGTAGTTCTTCCCCAGCTTCACCAGAGCCTCTCCATACGTCTTCCTAGTGGCAATCTGAACAAGAAATTCGTAGCATAAAGTACGCTTAACTAGTAATCCTTGCAGAAATGTTTTTTCTTTTTCTTACTCATCGGGATTTTAGTAAGGGACCTAAACGATCAACTCTTACAGGCAGCCAAGAAGAGCAACAAGTGTGGAGCAGCAAATGGGTATATAAGAAGAATGCAAGTGGTTCTCTAGCACAATTTGTGTTAAAGTTACGCCTCCTCACCTTCTCTCCCATGGTGTGCTTGGGTGGCTCGCACAGCTGAACCTTGGGGAAGGTGATTTTCGGCGCGTCGTCTTTGATTGGTCGCGGGGAGAGACCGTGGGGGCCGTTGTCGGTGATGAGGGCCTTGACTGCCTCGAGAGCAGGTCCCGACTGCTTCCCGAGTGGCTTTCCATGCCAGTTGTCGAGGTCCTCCACACCAGGGAAATACTTCCCTGCGGTCACAACAAACACAGCGTTATATTTTAGACAACTTTAGAGGGACAAAGAAAATATGCTGCATATAAAACATCTGCAGATTGCTTTTCCTGCTTTATTATTCAATGCCTCCACCTACTGTACTTGGCACAGACACATATTATAGAGAATTTGTAACCTTTGAGGGTCTTTGCAATGAGGGCAGTTGGCTTGTCTTTGGTGGTGGCTGCAGTGAGGAGGGCCTTGCACACTGCCATGATGTCGTGGCCGTCGACAATGATGGCGTTCCAACCAAAGGCATCGTATCGAGCCTTGTACACGTCGACACTGTGACCTAGTGCTGTAGCTTCACTCTGACCCAGCCTGCAGGGAGAGACGGAGAGAAAAAATCAAGTTTGCTCGTCTCACCACTGTACTCAGACTCTGTGTATGGAGGGAATGGGGGAGACAGCTTTTGCCAGGCCAGTTGTAGCTCGGTACTTGTTTTACTGGGCTCCCAGTCACTGCGCATGACTTTGATTCTTGGACAAAGGCAGGTTCTTTGCCTTTGTAGTGCAGGGCGACGGGGTGTACCTGTTGACGTCGACGATGGCGACAAGGTTGTCCAGTTTGTAGTGCGAGGAGAAAGCAGCTGCCTCCCACACACTACCCTCGGCTGTCTCTCCGTCTCCCATTATGCAGAACACTCGGTAGCTAAGAAAAGAGAGGCGGGCCGTAATGCAACAATGTTACGACTGTCTCAAACGCACACACACAAAATGTATACCAACCTGGCCTTGTCAAAGTATTTTCCGCAGTAGGCCATCCCAGCTGCAATGCTCAGACCTTGTCCCAGAGACCCAGTTGCCACGTCAATGTAGTTCTGCCTCTGCATTACACACACACACAACACAATCACGAGTCTTCAAAGGTTTATTATTGAGGGCTCACAGGTGTTGGATGCCCCTCGAGAAGGGAGTCTGGCTTCCTGAGAGTGAGGATGTGCTCCTTAGAGAGGAGGCCCGCCTCACACCAGGCAGCATACAGCACAGGGCAGGCATGTCCCTGAGAGGGGTGTATAGGGTAGTATTTGAATGGTGGGAGGGAGAGGGGTTTGGAGTATAGTGGAATACCTTTGACAGGACAAATCGGTCGCTGGAGCCATGTCTGGGCTCTTCAACTGCAGGTTGGGGAGGGGAGAGAGGAGTGTGGGAGGCAGGAATGAAATTCATGTGGTAGGAATAAATTTGAATCTAATTAGAGAGGCAGGAAGCAAAGCTGCAACCAGGGGCAGGAAGCTGGACAAAAACTCTGCAACCACAGAAGCTGTTTGCTGAAACCATGCCACAAGCCAGCAACTACAGTCAATATGGGGTATAGTTTTAGGTATGAGCTAACCAGAGTAGTGCATGACGTGGAAAAAGAGGCAGGAGAGGATGTCGGCAGCTGACGAGCTGGAGGTGGGGTGCCTGGGAGGCAAGAACAAAGAAACACACACAGAATGAAAAGGCATAACGCTGCAGTGCACCACAGATAGTTGCACGTGTGGCTGAATTGTGCTGAATGTAACTGTGCTACACCAGAAAGTTGCACGGCCGGGAGCTAAACACGCACCCGGAGCCTGAAGCGTCCGTCATGTTGACGATGTGCACACGCATCTTGTGCGCAATGTTCTGCAGCACCGCGACGCGGTTCTTGTCGGGGAGAGCGGGTTGACCGTAGCCGCCAGACATCTGCAAACGCCGAGAAATGGAGAGAGAAAGAGGAGAGAAGAATGGCCGAACAGCCCTAGATCACGTGCTGTACTAGCTAGCTACATGCTGCAAAAACAAGAATCGAATAGAGCAGAATCGAATAGAGCGCAGAAGCCTACCGTTATATGAGCTGCAGGGGGTAGCTTGTAGAGACGTAGGTGAACGCACTGAGACTGGAGACTGGATCCGCAGGTGCTGCACACTCGGCTGGAGAGCTTCCTTTATCTTAGGGCAGAGGAAGCAGGAAGAAGGTAGAAGGTAGGGGCGTGGGCGTGGTCAGAGGAAATCACGTCATAAAAAAATGGGCGTCATTTGGAACTATTTTTTTGAAGGCGTTTCCATGCCTCACACTCCATATGCCAGCCGTTCTTAGCCACAAGGAAGACAGAGACGCTCTCCAGCTTAGATCCAAGGCGAGGAAAAGGACTAAACGAAAGCCTCAGGCCGCGGACCGTCGAATAATGGACAGTTCTGAGGGAGAAGGGGGCGGGGGAGGGAGCGGTGTTTTTACAACATCCCGGGATCTGTCGTTCAGGAACGGACAGTGGCAGAAGAGAGACGTCATGGAGATGGCCGTGATAGTCACGGAGCCCCGAGCCACGGAGAAGCAGCAGGACAGGGACGACGGAGATAGCGGGATTTCTGAGACCACGGCTGTAGAGGAGCGACTCTTACCCACTAGAGAATCCGAAGCGAGGGAGAGGGCCCCGGAATACGGCCACACCCCGAATAAGGAGACTGTACTAGAGACGTTGATACAGGTTTTCATACCGTTCATGATAGCTGGGTTTGGTATGATGGCTGCCGGGCTCCTCCTTGACAAAGTACAAGTAAATTTCTATCTGGAATCTTGAAGATTGTCCGTATTATTTGTCCTTGCTGTTTGGCAGCACTGGGACGTGTACGTTAACATCAATGAGATATTCATCCTTGTGCCAGCTCTTCTGGGCCTGAAAGGCAACCTGGAGATGACTCTAGCTTCCCGATTATCCACTGCCGTAAGAACAAACACTGCCTTTCATGGACACGAAAAAACATCCCCTCCTTTCTTTACCCTTCCCTCATCCCTACCCAACCTCTCTCTGTTTTCTCCCCTCTGTTTCTCCCCCTCCATCTCTCCCAGGCAAACATAGGTCAGCTGAGTACCTGGGGGAAAGTCTGGAGAGGCGCATGGGGCAACCTATCACTTATTCAGGTCTGTAACTTTTCCATGTTCATGTCCTGTATACTCTATCCATTAGTAGTACAGCAGAAAGTACTCTTATATAGGTGCCTCGTCATAATGGAATTTACACTGACTCTAGCATGCCTTGTGCATGTGCTCTCCTTTTCACCTTTGTGAGCTTTGGCATACGTAACACAAGTGCGTGTGTCAACAACATAGGAAGGCAAGACAAAGCCAACAAGTCAACTACTGGTCTTTCTTCCAGCTTAATTTTATCTATTTGGTAGCAACATACATTATTATACATGCTACAACCTAGAATGTGTGTATTACAATAGTTTCACTCTGTGTCTCGTGTGTCTCTCTTCACAGGGCCAGGCGCTGGTGGTTGCTGCTCTAGCCACCGGAGTCTCCGTCATCTTTGGCCGGGATCTTCACGTGGCTCACACATTGCTGCTGGGAGCATCTTCCATGAGCACGGCGGCCATCGCTAGCTTTCTCCTGGGCGGAGTCATGATCGGAGTGATCGTAGTCTCTCATATCGCCAGGATCAACCCAGACAATGTGGCCACGCCCATCGCTGCTTCACTCGGTGACCTTGTGACCCTTGGCCTCCTCTCACTCATTGCCAACTGGCTCTACGATTTGAGTGGTGAGTTTGGACCGTCACTAATGCTACCTGTACTGACAGTTCTATTGCCATTGGTGGTGTATAGTCACACATTACGCAAGACTAGAACAGGTTGTGGAGCTATTCATTGATCATTGAGGCTTTCAACCTACTCTGAATGTTCTACATGTGGCTAAGCTCACCCACAAACAAACCCCTGCAGGTCCTGAATCAGAGGGTGTGGCACAGGGGGGATCGGGCAATGGGACGGGCATCGTCCAAATGGCCACCCCGGAAGCGACGGTCACGGCATCGTCTCTTATCCTGGTCCTCCTGTTGGTTCTAATCCCTCTCTGGCTCTACCTCGCCCACCGGAACTCCACTACTCGCAGCGTACTCTTCTATGGGTGGATCCCTGTCATTGCCGCCATGTGTATTTCCAGGTCCCTCCATATGTACTTTGACCCGCTCTCTCCTCTCTTTCCTTCCACCATTTTTCCTTCTTCTTCCCTACCTTCTCTTTTTCTTTCTTCCCCACCTTATTATTTATCTCTCTTTTCATTCTCCCTTCCCTCCCTCCCTCTCCACCCTTTGAATTTATTCCATCTCTCCTCTTTCTCTCTCATCTCATCTAACAGTGGTGGTGGACTGGTATTGTCACAAGCAGTGAGCAGATGGAGAGGAATTGCCATATACTCACCAATCATCAACGGAGTGGGAGGCAACCTGGTGGCAGTTCAGGCCAGTCGAATCTCCACCTCTCTCCATTCCGCTGGCATCCCTGGCAGCAGATCATCTGATCTTTCCTCTACCTACAGCGGGCCCCTCTCTTCCTTCTTCTCTGCCAGTGAGCTACATAAGACTCTCTCTTTCCTCTGTCTTGTATTGAAATCTGTATATGGGTCACGTCAAAAATTGGCCAAATATGAGTCATATCATTTTGTTTCTGTTGTGTGTGTGTGTGTGTGTAGGTCAACATGCCACTACGGCCAAGCTACTGGTGTTGCTGGTCATCCCAGGCTCCGCCATATTCCTGGTAGTCATCCACATCCTCAACGCAGGCCACACTACCCTCTCCCCCATGTTCTTCTTTGGCTACCTTCTCTGTGCAGTTTTCCAGGTCTGAACCGCTCTTTTTCTCAGTTCTATGCATTGCTACCTCATATTAACTGCATGACTGTAGTAGCTACACAATGGGCGTGTTCATTGTTGGAGAATTGTAGCTCAGCATAATACTTATACTTGGCCAACACACTCACAGCTCTAAATGGTATTGTGTCATTCTGGGATTGTGTACATGCAGGCGGTGATCTACTGGCAGTGGCTGACTGGCTGGTTCACAAGATCTGGCGCTGCGGATTCGATCCAGACAACGTCGCCATTCCGTTCCTGACCTCCCTGGGTGACCTCCTCGGAACCGGTCTGCTAGCTATAGGGTTCCAGGTCATGTGGTACTTGGGGGACCGCGACGAAGATGTGGGAGAATGACGCTGTCTGTTTTTCTTCTGTCCCTCTCATCAAGCTTATTATTATCATCATCATACATGCCGATTTCTATTAGACATACTGTAAAGTCAAAACCTCGTTGAATGATCATTGCGCGCTAAAAAATTTCTATGTGTATAATTAGGTCTGAATCAAAGTCTCCGGCAAAACGAAAAACTGTTAATCTGCAAAAAAATGTGCGCCTCAAAAAATTTTGATCTATGATATGTAGCACTAAGGTATGAACGATGCAGATAGTGATACAATAGTACTGTGGTGTTCATGTTCTGTCTCTGTGTAAGGCTAGTCCCATATCGTGGAGCTCTGCCTCATATCCCCGCCATTCTTCCTCCAGTAGCTGCTTCAGCTGGGCCCTTCTCACCTGCCCACAGAGGACAGTAACAAATAGTGCTTTCTCATTCTCCTAAACCTCATACCCTCATCCCCTTTTGCTCTAGCGTGGAAACAAGTGCACTACTTGGCCACAGCTATTTGCTTATAACAACCCTATTTTGGTTCATGTATAGAGAATTACAGTAGTGCCTTATTTATGGCAAAAGTAACAAAGTACAGTAGATTGCTACGGTGTGGACATACCATGACAAGGGCGTTGTTGGCCAGCGCTACCTCTCGCTCTATCTCCTCCGTCTTCTTCACCAGAATCTTCCTCTCACTCGCCTCCTCCAGGGACTCGTTCCAGTTGGCCCGCAGCGTCGCTCTCACATCACTGCACACACACACCAGAATGTATACTTATTTACGCTATATACCCAGGGCCGGCAGAGGAGAGAGAAGTTACTTTCTTATGACTTGCTGCTGCGCCTGTATCTTCTCGTCTGTCTACGGGAAGACGGAGAAGCGTAAACACTCGTGATTTGACGGTATCTACGTATTTATTCCTACCAGTATTCTTTGGTGTTGCCTCGCCTGGGCCTTGCTCATCCGCGGCTTTATTGTCCTGTCGTCCATGTTCTTCTCACTGCTGTTATGTTTCCTGGCAACAACCGAAAGTGGGCGGGGTTTACTCTGTAACTGTGCGCATGCGCGATAAGGTGGGCGTACTATACTACTACTAAGCTAAGTAGTGAATGATGGCGGCCCTTGTAATTCAGTGGCTGGCTTTAGCGTCTCTCCTGGCTGGCGGTGCTGTGTCTCTGGACAACGGCCTGGCTCTCACTCCACCGAGTAAGACCCACAGAAGCTTTCCCTGTCCCAACTCACGTGATCCTGCCTGCAGTGGGCTGGATGTCGTGGGAGAGGTACAGATGTAACGTGGACTGTACCACGGATCCTTACAACTGCATCAGGTCCCGTTCTGAGCCGCTGATCCATTGAATTGTCTCTCTAACTCCCACAGTGAGGAGCTGTACATGGAAATGGCAGATCGTCTGGTGGACCAGGGCTACAAGGATTTGGGATACGAATTTGTCAACATTGACGTGAGCAACCAAACTCTCAAGCAAGGGCACGCCTTACTTTGTATTTCCCCACTCTCCTCTCTCTTTCTCCCCTCCCCTTCCTCCCTCCCTCTGTCTGCATCTATTCCTCTTTCTTTCAACCCCCTCCTATTCTGTTGTTGTTCATCATACACACACACACACACACACAGGACTGCTGGGACTTGCTGGAGAGAGATGAGAATGGTAGACTGCAGCCTGATCCTGACAGGTTCCCAAGTGGCATCAAAGGTCTTGCCGACTACGTATGTTTACTCCACCGGTTCCTTTCTACCTGGAGACGTTGTTGTTCATGTATAGGTGCATAGTCGAGGACTGAAGCTGGGAATATATGGAGGTACGATGTCTGATTTTAATACAGCCAAGTATACTGTCTAACGATTTTCGTTGGTGCAAATTTTGAAAGCAGCACGCGCATGCGTTTACTTACGCGTGCGCGTCACAGTGCGCCGAGGGTTTGCACTTCAGTGCTTTTCATTACTACAGCAGCAAAGTGAAAAGCACTTGACAGTACATAACCTTTGTTCAGCTACTAGCTACACTACATAAGTGACTCCTTCACTGAACGGATTCACTGGGCGTGTGCTGCTCTCACTTCACCAGCAATCTCGCTTTTGGCGTCCCTACTAATTTTCACCCCTTGTGTGACCACCAATTTCGCATGTCAACAATTCTTTCTCTCTCACTCAGATATTGGTACAATGACGTGTGGAGGGTACCCAGGATCCTATGGTCACATTGAAACCGATGCAATGGTATGTATATGAAACAACACCATGTCTCCTTGGTCACGTGGTGCCGATATAATTCATACAGACTTATGCAGAGTGGGGGGTAGACATGGTAAAGGTGGACGGTTGCTATGCCAACGAGACGGTGTTCGCAGAAGGCTACCCAGCTATGGGGAAGGCCCTGAACGCCACTGGACGACCGATAGTCTATTCCTGCAGCTGGCCTGCCTACCTCAAAGATGTACGGAACTAGAGAAAAAACTGAGTTTTCACGCAGAATTCCCTCTCTACATCGTTCCCATCTTCTTCTCTCCGTGTTAAGATCACCATTCATTTAGCTTCACTGCACCACGGTGCCAACCGGTGCAGCACGTGCATGAGCTTGCATCTGTTATTGCTTCTCTTCCCTTTCACCTCTCCGTATATCCATCGTGTGCAGCCTGACTACGCCACCATTTCCAAGACGTGCAACCTCTGGAGAAATTACGACGACATCCAGGTACAGTTCTCACTCCGTTTCTCTGTTTAACAATAATTATTCCAACGTTTCTCCAGTTTTATCCCACAGAGCACTTTTTGAGCCAGAGTTAATAGAAATTTTAATACTCCACCATTTCTCTCAATACTCTCTCTCTATTTCTCATCATTAGGATTCGTGGGACAGTGTTCTGTCTATAATACTGCACTATGCCGAGGGTCAGGATGTGTTTGGTAAGTAAGCCGGCCCGGGACAGTGGAACGATCCAGATCAACTCATTGTTGGGGACTTTGGTCTCAGTCTGGACCAGCAGATGTCCCAAATGGCAATGTGGGCAATCTTTGCATCGGTAAACGGGACATCCCAAGACTGACCCATTAATCGATGATTTTGTTCACATTAGCCTCTACTCATGTCAAACGACCTGTGGAACATTCCAGAAGACTCCAGGGAAATCCTACAGAACCCGTAAGCCACACCCACAACTGACCACGCCCACAATATCATAGATGGCCCCGCCCACCCCAGGGAGGTGATAGCCGTCAACCAGGATAAACTGGGAGTCCAGGGAAAACTGGTATCTTCGTCCACAACTTCTCATCCTCACTCACCCAAGGTTTGTCAACTAAACTGCGGACTTTTGCTAGTTAAGACTTCCCATCAATTATACTATTCTCTCCCTCCCTCCTTCGCTCTCTCTCTCTCCTCAGGAAACAACTCTGTATGTCTTTGCGAAGCCACTGTCGACAGGTTCAGTAGCTGTGGCTCTACTGAACACTGACGACCAGGGAACTCCCCGCAATATGACCGTCTCGCTACAAGAGGTCTGTTTGGCAAACCAACTCTCCCATTGATCACTGTATCATAACACGAAGGAAGAACCCAGTACATTCGATATCAAGAAAGGAAGGACCTTCACACAGTAACATTCAGGCTTGCTAGATACAGCATGTGCAAGGCATTAGTGTTGGTCGAGTCTATGACATACGAAAGCATGACTTGAACTACCAAGTACCGATGATACATTCCTATGTGCCTTGGTCCCAGTTATAATATATCCTGATTACAAGCGTGAACCCTATCTCGTTCTAAAACACTGACTACAGGCGTACAGGGTATCTGGTTTGTGGTCTCACACACACACACACACACACACAGGCTGGGCTCAAGGTGACAAGTGCCAGGGTTCGCGACCTCTTCGAGCTCAAGGACATCGGTGTGTTTAACTCAAAGGTCACCTTGTCCGTCAACCCATCTGGCGGCGTTCGTCTTCTCCTCCTTACCCCAGTCTCCCCTTGACGGACAATTATTGTGAAATAATATTACATGATAACTGTAACCTTGTGCTTGTGAAGTGATCAATAATATTTATGAATGGGGCGCTTTTTGCAAATAAAAGTGGGACTTTGTAAATAAAAACTTTGTTTTTTCGGCGAGGGTTACGGTGTGCCTTTCTTTCTGAGAAGGTGGATCTTCCACATCATTTGGACGGTCCACTTGAGGTCGAGGCATTTCCTGATGACCTTTCTGAACAGCTGCTCGGCCTCTTGTTCTGTCTTGTCCAGGACGAGGGCGTTCCTGATGTAGTCGGTGTCCTCCACGCACGTCAGTTCAGGGATCCCCGTGGATCTCATCTGATGAGTATTGGAGGGAGGGAGGGAGGGAGGGAGGGAGGGATCACTGTATGCATAATTATAATCATATTATTGAGAACATGGTTCACATGTACCAAAACATTTCGTGCAACTCAATCACAAATCACTGAACAATCCACAGGTAATACGAAAATTAATAGAGAGATGAAAGGTTGGCAATTTTTCAACCTTATATATTTTTTGGGCCTCAAACAGAAATAGGGCTGGCCATTTTAATTGTGGTGGTGCCACACTTGTGTATGTATGGGTTCCACATTTCTATATAGTGTGCCGAGGGTTTGCACTTTAGTGCTTTTCATTTGCAAAAGTTTTAGTTTTATGGTAAACATGAGGGTTATGTGCTCACGAGGGAGAAGAGGTTGATGATGAGGTCGGCATTTCTGCGGAGAGTGAGGAATGCCCGGCAACAGAGGTTCTTGTACGTCTCAAACATCCCTCCTTCTTCTCCACCCATGACGTACACAAAGTCAGGAGTCAGTACGAATGGGGCCCACTCTCTCTTGAACCCCTGTAATTGCAGCACATAATCACTCATTTGGGGCCTTTTCAGCCTCCAAGTACACTATATAGAACCTCTGATATAAACGACACAATACCTCTATTGGGGGTTTATAAGGCCTTATTGAACTGACCATGTAGTACTTGATGTTTCCGAGGAAGTGTCCAAAGTCAATGTGGAACAGGTTGCCAGAAGTGGTGACCATGATGTTGTCATTGTGCCTGTCTCCTATCCCCTGTGTGTGTGACGTCACATGATCATCACATGAATGTCATGTGACATGCATAAACCACACTCACCAAGACGTAAGTTGCGACCGAGTACCCTGCGCAAGAGTGGGTAAATTTTTTCACGGCCATCTTCAATTTTTCTGGGTCGAGCTCTCCAAATTCACTGAAGCAAGAAAAATTTTAGAGTAGTGTTCAATAGAGTATCTATAATCACACAAACTTTGTCTGGTGGCTTCTGATCCAATCCAGTAGCTTTGATTGGTTACTCACTCCTGAAACCTGTGGGCCGAAAAATGTGTCGAAAAATGAAGGAACATGGGAGAAAGAGAGAGGGGGGTGGTTGTCTTGATAACCAACGGTATTGTGAAGAGAGAGATGATAATTACATTTGGACACACCTGCACCATTATGCCCCGGGGAAGGAATGTTGGTTTTGTCATACTTGTGTACTAGATCCCATTTCCCCCCAGTCTACATACTATTGGTGTGAATGTGTATCACAGAGGAAGTATACTGATGTCTGGTTTGCAAAATTTGAGGAAGAGAGAAAGAGAACACGCCTCACCTCGGCGATCGTCCTAGCGTTGTTGACGACCTCGATGAACCCAGTCTTTGGTCCGGTAGCCATGCAACCATATGGAATGAGACAGAGGTCTGACAGCCCGTCCTCCTCCCATAGCTGCAATACACAAATCAGCTCATGAATAATTCATGACCACACAAAGATCTCTATTATACAAGTGGAAAAATCATTTCTTCAAAAATGAAAGGGGGATATAGGGATGGCTTGAAGCACCAAAA